GGGAGGCAGAGAAAGACATGTTCTACGGTGGCAGAGATTACTGGGGAAGTTCTACGACCAGTACCTTCATCAGCCAGTAGAAGCAAACATAGTGAATAGAAAGTGAACCCAATTTCATGTTTTGTATTTGTAAGGATTTGTGAGGTATACACAGATTTTTGACAAACCTTTCTGTGCTGTGTTTTGTGCACTTGCTGTTAGATTTAAATACACCTAAAAGCTGTTCAAAATCAGATAATTTTCAATTCACAAAAAAAGATCCTAGAAGTATCTAAGATTCCCACAGAGACAGCAAAGGATATTTAGTCCTTTATGGAATATTTTAAATTCTTCACCACCCTTTGAGGCATTGAAATAAGTACTCTTTCAGGCGTGGCTTGCTTTATTTGGGAGCAAAGTGACAAACCAATTCTCAGCCTTGTCAACTCTGTAGGCAGATTCCATCTCTCTTTTTCAAATAAACTTTAAAATCCAGAACTGAATGTGGGAGCATAAAACAAGTTTTCTCTATCGTTGTCTGCATTTAAATCTGCTGTTACATACAGCAGTCAAAGGTTTTCAATTTACATATGTGACTGTATGCGGTGAGGTGCAGAAGCTGGAACTGTAAAGGCAGGAACAACAAGTTTCCGGAACAAGAGCTTAGCTCTGTTGTCCTTTCAGTTTTGTTCAAACTTATCAGTGAACTGGAAATTTTGTCAAGATATTGTATCAGACTGATAAAAAGGTGAGTCTAACCTTGTGTAATTCATGCCTTTCAAGCCTCATGATAAATTTTGGGTTTACGCAACTCACTTCTAGATTTTTCTCTGTCAGATCGAGCCTGCTCTGAAATTTGTACATGTTGAAACTTGCAGGAAATTACTATTCAGAAGCTTATATGTGATAGCTTCATCCAACCTGCAGGAGAGAACAAAATATAAAAACATTGTATGCAGGTGGACATGGGTAGATTGACATTTTGTAGAAATTTCTGGCAATTGCCATTGAAGGCTGCTGTTGCTGCGATTTGTTTCCTGCTGATTGCTCAAACAGAGCTTGCTATGAACAACTTGTACTTTTCTTCAGAGTTTCTGAAAAAAAAAAAAGTGTGAGTGAGTTCTCAGATCACCAAACCTGTTAAACATCCCATTGTGACCTCCACACTCAACTGCACAGCCAAAATTCCTCCCCCAACTTTATGACTTCACATCCCGGTGGTTCGTTCTTCAGTTTAAAAAAAAATGACAGGAGTATGTTGAAAACAATTACAATCGCTGGAAGTTCATTGCTATTTTGACTGTGATGTGAAAACATCCAGAGATCGGTATTTCGGTTATTGATACAAGTAAGCAATAAAACCAGAAAACTTGTAATCAGAACACTTAAAAGTATAGCGACCGAGACGATGCTTACATTTGTGAGTGATTTGCAGACATGTCTTCTTGTCGTTAATTTTCAAGCATGCATTTGAAGAATCTCGGTTTTTTAGGTGTAGAAGCTACACACCCGAGGCCCCCTGCTTCTACACAGAAACAACTGGTTTGGCTCGTCCTAAAAAAAAGTTTTGTTGAGCATTGAGAATGAGGACTGAGGGCTAAAACAGAATTCAGTTTTAGACAGAGACTAATCCAGTCAAATGATGAGAGACCTTAACTCAAAGTTACTGAAGCAGGAGTTGTAGTTCACCAGAAAAAGAAACATTCAGATAGACATGCTAGAGAAAATAGCATCTACACCCAGATTGTCAATTCAGGACCGAGTGGCTCGTTTAAATTTTATGGAAAAATTTTTGAGGAAAATCACTGAAGACAGGTGAAGGGAATAAAAAGAGCCATCACTGAATAGGAAGTGTGCTTGGGTTGAATCTATCAAACACATTGACAGCAATTTTGACTCTTCTCCCCAAGCAGTTCCAAAAGCTAAAGCAGCTTAAAGCACAACAAGAAAGAAACTTGGAAGGATTGCTGTGTCAGTGATTAAAGAGAGTTTAACAGCCCTATTAGTTTAATTGCTCTAAAAATAAACTTCTGGAACTCCTAATCAGATAATGAAGAGCATTACTTCTGGCTTTGACAGCCTTTGGAAAGATTGCAGCTTCTTTTGGTGGCACACTTGTGTTTATTTATAACACACAAGGTTTAGATACGGAACTTTCTTATAAATAATAACATATATACTGATTTGCAAAATTAATTGCTGTGGCAGGTAACAAAATGTTAAGACCTCCTCTTTCTCAAATCTGCTTCAGAATTTGTACCAATTCAATGTCATCAAATCAACGGTAAAGAATCTGTAATTCAAACTTTTCTTTATTGCTGTTTGCTTATAAAAAATGAGTTACACTCTGATTAATACTTAAGCTAATAAATGATAATACCTTTTTGCTGTTCATGATATCAGAATGAAGAACTTTGAAATGCAGAACAGGAAGAAAAATGTTGCATATTTTGAATGTCATTATATAACAATGAAGGAAATAAATGAGGTATGAACATAATACTACCAAAATCCCAGAACAGTACCAAGGTTTGCTCAAGGATGTCCTTAAGAAAACAAAAGAAAGATGCTATTGTGCAAATGGTATGCACACTAACATACCATTTGTACCATTTGACTGTACAGCCTTACAGTATATTCTTCTGGTGCTCATTGTGTTTTTGTTTTTTTAATTTAGACAGGCTCTCTGGTTTCCTCCCATGCTCTACTAACATCAGTGACTCTAAATCTGACCTCTACATTTTGTTTGTATGTTTGAATAGAGAAGGCTGGTGCAGACAATAAGTCGGTAATCCTTTTTGAAAACTGGATTATAACTTTAATTATCGTTGGATTTACCGAACATAACCTGTGAAAGTTTCCGTCATGAAAGTCACGACTACAATAGAGCCAAACCCTTCAGAAACAATTCTGAAAAGCACCAGTCATTGCTCCACAGAACAGACTGTGTAACTTACAGTTGTATAATTACATCTGCTGTTGTATAACTTAAAAGCCATTGTATTCAGATATAATCCTTTATTTCCTTTAATTACTGTGATTAACTGTCAACAACGGTTCTGGTAAACTTTAATTCAACAGTAAATACTATTATTTTCTTAAAGCACTGTTGCCAGTAAGGTGTGAGATTTAGTTTGGGTTATTGCATGAACTCACCAAGATTTAAACTACTTAGTAAGCTCACAGACACATTGGACTCTGATCATTAAAACCAAAACACTACCGGGTAACTTTTGCCCCAGAGATGCTTAGATTCTCAAACTCAAACGAAAAACAAAAATGAAAGAATTTAGGTAATATGTGACAAAATTAAATGTGGCATCTGATAGACTTTTAAAAAAGCATGCGACAGGCTTGGAAAAAAGGCCATTGAATGTTCTTTGTCACGAACCAGACAAAAGGAGTGTAAAAGGAGTGCAAGACATTTCAGAGCAGGGAGCGTTTGTTTATCGTTCATAGAAAACATCTTTTGAATTTATTCCTCTGTCTTTTGCAGACAAAAATAAAAGATAACCATCAGCTGCCACCATGATTGGTGGATTCCTTGTGAACTTGTTGGCAGGTGAGTAATATAGTACCTTTTTGCACATATTTAGATACTACGCCAAAGAAAACTGCATGAAAAGATAAATAATATCCGGGTTGTCAAGAACCGGATGCCTCTGGCTTTAAAGTAGCCCGACATTTGTAGCTATCTTTTAAATTATTATTCTTTACCATTCTGCAGGTTTTCTGAAGGTCATTCAAAGTTTGCCTTTTGAGAAGACGTTTTTTTGTAGTTTGTTTGACACCTGAATATGGGTGATGGACCATTCAGGTGTAGCCTGGCAAGTCTCTACTTGTGTAATTCTGCTCAATTATAATTTCACTTCACAGCTAGTGTTGTGAGACAGTTGGCCAATGAAGCAATCGCTTAACACCAACAAGGTGTTTCCCAAAGAGCTATTACAGTAGTTAAAAACCTGTAACACAGTTGACCATCAAGAGAAAGAAGATGTTTATTTTTTTATTTTGGTTTGTTTTGTTTTTAAATTTTTCTAAGATATAACTTTGAGTAGCAGGGATATTGGATATGTGTGATTGAAGAGCAGATAAACATCATCAGAGATTGATTATGTTATACAAGTTTTGGTGTCATGTGTTTTCTTTTTTCGTCACAGACTTTTGCATACATACAAAAAGGGAGCTTTGTCCCATCTTTCACATATCAGCCTCATGTTGCTTAAAATAATAGTTAATATTTAGATAATTGTTTATCTTACCTGACTACTCTCATATGTATTCTTCCCATCTTGCACAGCTATCTGCATAACTCACAGCATGAGTCCACAAATCGAACCTACACAATTAAATATTGGTACAAACAGCACTTTTGGAAATAAAACACAATTTTATGTTGGAGAAACAATGATGAATGCAGGGGAAATCACCAGTAACAATGGTTCACATGAAGAAAGCATTATGTCTTCTACACCCGAGACAAATGCCCAAGAATGTTGCAAAACCACTCAATCATCTGATACAGAAACAAGCCAACCAGCCTCTACATTTTCTGAGAGGAACTCATCATTTTCACGTGAGACTCCTGCACCAGCTGAGACTGAAAACATCTCTGGTACGACGCCATCAAATGGTCTGCAGATTTCAGATATCAAAGGTGGCAACACACCCACCAGCATGTCTTCACCATTATCACAAAGTGAGACAATGTCAGGAAGCACGCCCACACAAGGAGACTCGGAATCACAGATAAATGAGTTATTAAGTACTTCAACAGACATGCCTGAAACCAGACAAGCCAACATGAAAACAACCAATAGTTCTACACAGTCATACACAGAGACTAAAGAATATGATGCAACAAAGAGTTCTACACTTTTATCAACAATAAACACAGTGGTGACAGGAAATACACAATCAGGGCAAAAAACATCATCTGAGGCAAGCCCAGTGGCTGATTATAAAGCTACAACAAACTTCGCTATTGTGTCAGGCATAACAGAACCAACTTCAACACAGAATCAAAGCACTGACTCTTTAAAGACTGAATCAGCCTCAACACAAAGCTCTGCAGGAACCACAAAACCAGATATGTCTACAACGGAGAAGCAAATGGAGTCTACAAAACCAGCTACTTTACGTACACTGAAAACTGAAACATCTACTGTGCATTATACACAGACACAGATGATGGAAGACATGACAACACCTTTGCCACCATTATTAGAAACTTCTGCAACAGGAGCAACCAGAAAGTCAACATCTTCTCATCGACCTGTAACACGAGCAGCAGCAGCATCAAGCAGTGACATACAAACTCTGGATTTTCAAGCACAAAAAACATCATCAGCTATGGTTTCATCTTCACAAGGTTCACCACATGTTACAAGTTCAACTGGTCAATCTAACAGCCAAGGTCTGGAGACTTCAACAACCTCTGAATTACTAACAACACAACTTCCCAAAACTTCAAAACAAACTGCAGCCTTGACCATGGATTATACATCTACACTGACTGCAAATTCTACACTGACGACATCGTTCAGTACAATATCACCTCCTTCTGTAAGTTCTACAAAAGAAACATCTGTAAAAGAATTGTCTTCACCTTCATCTATTACAACACCATCCACAACAGATATTGTTGTAACAACAAACAAACAAGGCAATGGAACAACAAAATTAAAAATCACCTCGGAACAGGATACTTCAGATGTAACCACACAAACACCAAATAATATTAAGGCATCCTCAACAACAAAAATGTCAACTGTTTCAGGAACTGATTTGCTTTCTTCATCATCACTAAAGGCAACACAAACTTCGAGTGAAGCGATACAACCAGAAAGTCAAGATAAAACTGCATCATCGACAACAACAAAACAAGAAAATACAACAACACCAACAAAATGTTCAACACAACCCACAACTGCAAAACAAACTGTTGGATCAGAAACAATTCAAGAAAAAACAGACCATGAATCAGCGTCTGTGTCCAACAGACTCACAAGCCAATTTGCAGGGTCGATGGAAACTGTTGAATCTCCAGGGCAAACAAAATCTATGGCAACAGGAACTCAGACACCCTCCAAAGATGACACATCTTCTATTGTTGTGAAGTTCACTACAATAGACTTGATCACACCTCCAAGTGAGACTCCACAAGAATCATTTACAACACAAAAACCCCCAACTACCATGCAGACGACTCCATCAGCAACAAATAGTGGAACAACTGACTATAAATCAGTCTCTGCATCAACAAGGCTGAGTACTCAAACTACTCAATCTGTGGATATTAATCCAAATACAACACAAACACAACCTCGTCCAATGGCAACAGTCAGAATAACGTCTATAGAGATGGTGGAGCTCATGTCAACAGCCTCCACCCAAACATCACCTCCATCTTTAACGTCCACAGATAACAAAGCCGTTCAGTCAACACAATCCTCTTCATACGGAACAAGATCCACAATAAGCACGATTTCATTAACAACTACCAAAGAGGATGAAGAAACATCAAATTTACAAAGTTTATCAAATGTAGCAACAACATCACAAACTATAGCACAGAAAACAATAACATCGTTTTCAACAACTAGATCAGAAAATCAACAGAAAATGTCATCGTTTCCAACAAGAAAATTAGAGGATTCAGCAACATCAGAACCATCAACAACACATCCCTCAACTGCAGAACAAACTGCTGGATCAATTCAAGGAAACACAGATAGTGCAACAGTTTTTACGTCAACCAGACCAAGATTACAAACGACGAAGGCTAGTGAAACTAATCAAATAGCAACACAATCACAATCTAGTTCTACAACACCAAAAACTCAAACATCTACTACAAATCACACATCTGTAAAGACGGTGGGATCCACAGCAACAGCATCTCCATCCATGACAACAGCAATAAAGTTATCGACAACTTTTCCATCTGAAGCAGTTTCCAAAGAAACAACACACTCTGAAGTTCAGGCATCAACCAATCAGGAAGAAACACATTCTATCACAAAACAATTACAAAACACCTCAAACCAAATGATGTTGAATGTAACAACAGAGAATAAAACACTAGCCACAGAAACAACCAAAACACCTGCAATCAAAGAACCACCCACTGCTTCAGAACCAGCTACTGGACCAACACCCGATGCGTCAGTGGAAGTTCAAACAAAATCTACATCAGCTGTGTATTCACCTCCACAGAGTTTGACACATATTACAAGTTTAATAACACAATCAAATCCTCAAAATTTAGAGACTTCAAAAACTTCACCATCATTTACAGATCAATTGCCTACAACTTCTAAACCAACCACTGGATCAACAATAACTAGAGGAACAACGGACAACAAATCAACTTTTATTTCAACCAGAGGCCCATCACAAGCTGCAGGATCTGTGACAGAGGACCGAATTGATACACAAACACAATCTAGCTCATATACTGCCAAAACCCAAGAGTATAACACATCAAATAACATGCTAGCACCAACAACCAATCAGGACAGAGAAGCAACAACAGCGTCACAAACTGCAGCTGCAGAAACAACAAAATTTGACACTCAGGATTATACAGAGTCTGCAACAACCAAATCTGAATACTCAACATCATCAGTGTCAAGCAGACCTACACCCCAATCTGCAGGGTCTCTGGAAACTGTTGGATCTACAGAGCAAACAAAATCCAATCCAACAGTGACCAAAACTGAGAAATCCAACAAAAGTAACACATCTACACAGTTTGTGGAGTTAACAACTACAGACCTGATCTCACCTTCAAGTGTGACTTCACAAGCATCATTTACAACACAACAACCAACAACTGCCACACAAAATACTGCATCAACTACAAATAGTGGAACAACTGACAATAAATCAGTCTCTGCATCAACAAGGCTGAGTACTCAAACTACTCAATCTGTGGATATTAATCCAAATACAACACAAACACAACCTCATCCAATGGCAACAGTCAGTATAACATCTATAGAGATTGTGGAGCCCATGTCAACAGCCTCCACCCAAACATCACCTCCATCTTTAACGTCCACAGATAACAAAGCCGTTCAATCAACACAATCCTCTTCATACGAAACAAGATCCACAATAAGCACGATTTCATTAACAATTACCAAAGAGGATGAAGAAACATCAAGTTTACAAAGTTTATTAAATGTAGCAACAACATCACAAACTATAGCACAGAAAACAACAACATCGTTTTCAACAACTAGATCAGAAAATCAACAGAAAATGTCATCGTTTCCAACAAGAAAATTAGAGGATTCAGCAACATCAGAAGCATCAACAACACATCCCTCAACTGCAGAACAAACTGTGGAAACAAGAATCACTGAAGCAAACAAAGACAGTGGTGGTTCACTGAGTGCGTCAACAAGACAAACTACAGAGTCTGTGACCACACTGGGAATTGTTACAATAACAGAGTCAAATCCTTCAAAAATTGCAAATCACGAACCCATTACAAATAAGACATCTCCTTCAATGGTGGACGTAAAAACAACAGGGTTGATGACAACATCGACTACAATTGTTACTTCTAAAAATGAAGCAACTATAAACTTAACATCTTCACCTCCACCCCTTACAACAAGATCCACAACATCAACAGAAGTGGAAATACCAACATCAAAGAAATCAGACGAAATATCATCAACACAGAGCACCTCATCACAAAACCCTTTACATGTAACTACTGAGACACAGACTGCAGCTGCAGAAACAGAATCAACTGCTTTCAAACAGACGGTGGTATCTACATATAGTGAATCATTTTCTGATCACAACAGACATAAATCAGCTTCACTGCAAACATCTACTCAAAAGATAGATGAAACAAATGAGTTAGAGAATCAGACTAAAAATGCATCACCTGCAACGAACAAATCAGAGTTTCCAAAAACACAACACCCTCCAATTATTGGATCAGCAACAGTACATGAAGACACAAATCACCTCACCTTATCAACAACGGGACGGAAATCACCCACAGCTTCAACGCAAAGCACTGGATTATCAAACCAGTCACCAACAGAAGTTGGAGAGCAAACTATAGGGAAACAAGAGGCAGGACGTACAACGGGACATATGGGAACTACAGTGAACACCACACCACACACCACAGCATTTTTAGTCACATCTCCTCAAGAAACTACACAAACAGCTGCACACACAATTACCCCTGAGGAGGAACCAGAGACTGCATCAGGTATGTTGGACGCAAACCTTTCCAGTGATGATTAAATTACTACCACAGTCATACCAACAGATCCAGATCAAACTAATGTCTTTGTCTTTCTTTCTTGTGCTTCTGCAGCAGCATGGACAACGAATCAGTACTCCTCCACACCGCAAAGTTTAGAACCTTCCACTTCACAACAACCTCAAAGTGCCTCATTGGTCCCAGTTAGCCCATCTAGAAGCACTTCATCTTCAGTCCCAGCGCAGAGTTCATCCCATTCCACAACAGAAGAAGATCATTCAAGTACTTCCCCTCAGGTTAACAGGACAACAACTATGGAGAAGGTTATGGTAAAATCCACAGCAGCTGAGTATGAAAGCACAGAGACAACAGACTCCAAATTATACACATCATCTGCTAACCTCAGGCATGCAAGCACAACACAACTGGAGCACAATGCAAGCACTCTGCCTGTTTCTCGAAACAGGACTGTGTTTTTCAAATACAGTCCTAGGGTTGTTATTGTGAAGCCTTTAGTCTTTGATTATCCAGTTGTGAAGCGCATCACGTTTTTATCAAACGATACAGATAAAATTGATGCAACGACAAACTAAATAGCAACAAGGTTTGCCAGTGGTACAAGATGATGAAAACAACATGCAAATTAACTGTTAAAACATTTGTCATATGTTGATGTAAAATAATTTTTGGGATGAAATTTTATTGGGACAGTTACTTATAACCTCTTTATTCTGTTGAGATGTTGGGACTGTTCAGGACTTTAAAATTAGTTCAAAAGAGCAACCTAAATCTGGAGAGCCAATAGGTACACTCGAAATAAAACTTGATGTGGGCATTTTACAACATGTGGGTCTCAGCCAACTCTTTACTTGTTCAAGACTGGCCTGGAGTGGTTAATAGATCTTCAAAAATTAATAAATAAATCAATAAAATAAAGATAAGTTTTTATTCAAGTCCAACTATGTGTATTATTTGGAGAATCCAGTCTTTCTTTCACTTTTGTTTCTGTCTGCTACAGCACAGTCCAGCATATGCCAATGTTTATTTGTTACCAAATGTAAAGTTTTCACCATTTCTTCTATGTAATTGCTGCACACATACCATCATCACAATACTATTATTAGTATTAAGAATAGTGTTAATACTAATAATATTTCAATTGTCAAGAATGTACACACTGCATATGACAGTCAGCCTAAAAAATGGATGATGGTACCTAAGATGCTAAAGGGAACCTTTAGCTTAGGGTATAAAAAAATGGCTTTTTACACTGCAGTTTTAGATCACAACATGTTCTATTTTTCAAAATACGTGAAAATCTGAGATAGAGTTGGTGATGGAACATTTCAAAATCTTCAGTGTGAAACAAAACAAAATAAAAACTCCGATGTAAAAAGGTAATGCAGTACAACAGTCTGACGGTGGAATTTGAGGTTGTGACGTGTAAAGCGTTGTCATTTTGTTTGTTCAACATGTTGATAACTGTCTATAATGTTAATAGTTTTACAACCAAAACAGCAAATGTGCCATTATTGGTGTGGGAGGAAAACCCATCTTGTTTTTAGTTTCATGTGATGGTTCACTTCGTCATTTGTCATAATTGTTTTAGAAACCGATTTCTTTTCTCCACTGTATAACCCTTTAATCTGTTATTGAAGGCATCAAGCACATTTTTAAAATTATTTTTGTACATTTTCTGTCAATACTGATTAGCACTTTAACTTTTTCCAGAAAGTCTTTGGTCACCAATCTTTTTTCTCTTAAAGTTGATTGCACCCAGGCTCTTTGTTATCTGGATCAACACCATGACGTTTGGTGTATCTGTACAACTATTGCCTGGTAACTGGCCAGTTGGCCTCCCTTTTTTTATTAAAGTAACACATGATATTATAATGCTTGGGAATGATAACATTTTCAAACGGTTTGTAGAATAACATCTGGGGATTTGTAAGGTGAAGGAAAGAGCAACATTCAATTTTAAAGGTCTATTTACAAAGTTGCACAGCATAGCATTTCAAAATCTTAACGTAGATGTCCAATGCAGACATTATATTATAATGTGTCTATTTTTAATAAAACAAATGCTCTCAATGTCTATATTTGTCGTGTTACACTTCTTTCAGGTTTGCCTTTAAAGTAGCCGCTTTCCTCCCGTTATCTATTACCCCCATCCTCCATCTACACCAGCCTGACATCAGTGAGAAACTACGCACCCTAAATCGGTACATGAAGAGAAACAATGTCTCGCAGCGCCAACCATAAAGAAAAAACAAACACACCTCAATCCTCTACATTCTTCAGATCAATGAAGCAGATTCGCTGCTTCTGATGTAGTCATGACGTTTCTCATAGTGGGTTTGATCTGAAGCGTGCCTCTTGTTTGACTATAAGCAGTGATGGTGACATACTTTGTGCAGTTAGATCAGTTTAACTGAAAGTCTTTGCTTGCGAAAGGTAATTTCAGTTTTTCTAAATATTCACATTTATGCAAATAACATTTTAAAAATGTTGAGAATACATTTGTAAATTACAGTTCTTTGTGCACTTAGACAACTGTCACGCATTCTGACAAGTGTAGGTCTTCATGTGGTGCCTGTTTACTTCCTTTAATCTGTTGTGTTGAACTGTGTTTTTCTTGGATGAAGCAGAAAAATCACATGGTTGCTTGTAAGCTCAATAAACTTATAAGCCAGTCATCATGATGGACCTTGACGATCCCTGAAAAAGCGTTTCCTCCTGATCCTCCTATTTACAACATCCTTCAATGCCAACGAATCCATTGGGCAGCAATGAGCATGGGTGTCACAGCGTATTTAGATGTTTTCACGGATCAGTGTGATTACACATCTTGTCAAAATGTATGCTTTAATCTGTGGTGAAATAAATAAATAAAACTGATGTACGTCTCACCATTCTGACCACCGAAGACAGGAATTTGAAACAATATGATAAAAATATACTATAAACATTGTGCAGACTTTGATTTTGGATTGAGACTGCCTGACGGATCTTTTTTGTTTGCTCGGACGGTCATCATGTGTAATTATATCACACTATTGTTGAATGCTTATGATAAAGTCAATCTGCGGTTTACAGTTCGAAAGATTTCCGCATCTAAAAATATGTGGAACATTCCATGAGCAAATCTCATCCACAAACAACAGATAAACAAGATTGTATCAGCAAAATGTTTTGCAAAAATATGCAGCCCATCTTCTGATCACCAGGAAGTGCAAAATACAGGGTGGAGGATATGGAAATGTGTGACGTACCACCTGTAATTCAATTTACTAGATCAGAACCAGATGACAGGTGCTGGTTTTGGGTCCATATTTACCATGTTTCAAAAGCAGGTGCGAATTGGCCAAAATTAATAGTTGATTTAGAAAAAAATTGTCTATCTATGACGGACACTGCAGTTCCTTCTCTTAAGCAAGCATAAGGTGGAAAGAAAAGACTCCTATATTACAAGTTGTACGTTGATCTTTATTTATTGTAAAGAAATTGCTGGTGGTCTAAACTTGTCCATATTTAGAGTACTATAAAGGTTTTAAAGACATCATCTTATGCTTCTAAAACTGCTGCTAATATTTATCTGTTGCAAAGAACAAACATCTTTTCTCATGTTTTAGAACTGATGTTTTATTTATTTATCCCTAAGAACTTTGTCATGTTTTTATAGTCATTTCAACTGCGTTTGTCATAGTTGTTTTAGGTCAGTGAAGTTTAAAATAAATGTTACTAATTAGACCGGTAAACCTGTTTAATTAGTAACACTTTACTAATTCAACAGTGACCTAAGCACATTGAAACAGTTTACTGTTTCCAAATTAAACTCATTAAAATGAATTTCATGGACATCAATTTACTGTGACACAGTAAATTAATGTCACCCAAGTTCACATCAAGCCAAGAAAGTAAAAATGTCAGTGCCAATGATATCTGAAAATTAATGTGTCAGCGCTCTAATTTGCTTGATTTATTTTTTAATTGAAATGTGCAGCATCGCACCCATGCCTTTGAATTTGTTTTGCCAAAAAAGACAGCTTCGACATCATACAATAACACTATGCGGTTCACTCTGATTGACGAGATTTTGAAAGCTTGCCAGGCTTGTTGTAAAAAAAAAATGGAACAAATCCACCTGTCTTTTGTATTTCACACGTTGTGTGCATTGTTTTCATAGAATCAATGTTAGAAGAAAACAGACCTCCAATCCCAGAAACTCTAGCGTCTACCTAACCTTTCAGACCGTAAAATAAAGCCAAATAATTTGGACTCGCAAACATTTAAAATTGATGTTGACATCAATACTTTCCTGTCAAAGTGATACTGTACCGACACGGAACAGCTGGCTTGACCACTTTAGTGGAATGAACAAACAATACTAAGTCAACAGACTTTTTTTTCTTTTGCTTATCATCTCACAAACTTCCATGGGGGAATGGACATGAATTCCTATGCAGATCCAGGCTATATATGAGGGCCAACATTGTTGTGGCATTTGATGAGTTAAGGGAGCAGCAGAAAAGTTTTGAAGAAGCTCTTGAACTTGAAGACAGCTGCAGGTAAGTGGATTTCTGACTCTATTGTTGCAGTTAAAGTGTTGAGAGTTTTTAAAGCCTGAATCTTATTCCTCATCAGTGAAATTCATGTAGAATTAGACATTGTGTGATATTTGTGCAATGTAAAAGATTCTAATTAGGACATTTTGCATTGTACAAATTCAGCACAAAATAATTACATGTTTGTTGTGGTGTCAAAATCTAAATAATTTTTAAAATTTATTTATTGTATTTCAAAACTCATAATTATTTTGTATTTTAAGCCAAACGCAATGTAAATACCTTATTATTCTCTAGTCAGTTTTACCATTAACCACTGCTTGTCTGTTTTACAATTATTTCATAATTACTGAAATAATTATTATTACTGAAATAAAAACTATTTCCACACCCTACTTTTAGGGAGGAGCGGGATAAAAAAAACAAAACATGCATCACTTATGCCTGAGATTAGTTTAGATAAACCATAGAAATAAATATCTTTGCTGATGGAATGTGGCATTAGAAAAATCAGTTTCAAATAGAGAACATGGAAACTGCACACTACAGTGTAAAAACAGTTCATCACTATAAGTTGCACTGGTTTATAAAATGTTTCAGTGAACAGATAATTCTCTCTTGATTTTAATTAAATTAGTGTGATATTTCCTGAAAAAAAAACTCAATGAAACTTCTAAGTATTATAAAAACTTTAATTTTTTTATTTTATATACTATTTTTATGCTACTGATTAAGAACTAAAATGAACACTTGTAGTCCGGGTCACTCTCACTCCTTTCATTACATTGTCCTACATAATAAAAAGCACTATATTACTCCTCAATAGGAATTATTCGCTTCTGTTGAGAACTTTTTACTGAGAAAGAAAATGAATAAAAATCCCATTCGATAAAAGAAACAATTCAATATGTTTTCAGTTAAAGTGAGTGTCCATGATTAAAACTTTTTTTTGTTTGTTTGTTTTTTGTATATTAAAAAGAGACAGGTTTAAAAGAGAGTGGAGAGAACATGTAGATCTGACACTTGATTTGATTTTTTTATTTTCTTTATTCCACATGACTTCCAAACAATGGGCTATTGACTCATTCAGTTTCAATATTATGTTTTTCGGGACAAGTGCTTGCAAGACCAGTAATGCAAGTTGAATACTGACAATCCTTCACGCTGCTTGAACTGAACCCGAGAGAGAAAAATAAGTGATCCATGTGACTCCTCCTTGTTTTATCACAATCAGCATTTTTATTCGTTGCACAGATTTTCTCGGCAGAATAATTAAAAAGTAATATATAAGACGAAAAAAAAAATTGTTTCATCCTTGAATAACAACTTAATATTAAGGTGAGGATAATTTTCTAAAACACTAAAACATTTGGCAACCTATAATATCAGTAGCTCTATCTTATTTGGGGGAGAGGAAGTAAACTAGTCTCCTTAAAAGATAAAAGATGATAATGAGCCCGGAAGGAAAAAAAAAATTATGAGTGAATTGTGTTATGGCCAGTTGAATGTTTTAAATAAACCACCTATACAAATATTCAACTCAAAAAATACAGATTGTACTTAGTTAAAAAAAATAAATCTGTTCATTTATACATACAGTTAGGGCCAGAAATATTTGGACAGTGACACAGGTTTTGTTATTTTAGCTGTTGACAAAAATATGTTCAGAAATACAATTTATATATAATATGGGCTGAAAGTGCACACTCCCAGCTGCAATATGAGAGTTTCCACATCCAAATCGGAGAAAGGGTTCAGGAATCATAGCTCTGTAATGCAGAGCCTCCTCTTTTTCAAGGGACCAAAAGTAATTGGACAATGGACTCTAAAGGCTGCAAGTAACTCAAAAGGCCTTTCCCTCGTTAACCTGTAATCAAGTAAGTAGTTAAAAGGTCTTGGGTTGTTTCCAGGTGTGTGGTTTTGCATTTGGAAGCTGTTGCTGTGACCAGACAACATGCGGTCAAAGGAGCTCTCAATTGAGGTGAAGCAGAACATCCTGAGGCTGAAAAAAAAGGAAAAAATCCATCAGAGTGATAGCAGACATGCTTGGAGCAGCAAAATCAACAGTCGGGTACATTCTGAGGAAAAAGGAATTGACTGGTGAGCTTTGGACTCAAAAAGGCCTGGGCGTCCACGGAAGACAACGGTGGTGGATGATCGCCGCATACTTTCTTTGGTGAAGAAGAACCCGTTCACAACATCAACTGAGGTCCAGAACACTCTCAGAGAAGTAGGTGTATCTGTCTCTAAGTCAACAGTAAAGAGAAGACTCCATGAAAGCAAATACAAAGGGTTCACATGTAGATGCAAACCATTCATCAATTCCAAAAATAGACAGGCCAGAGTTAAATTTGCCCAAAATCACCTCAAGAAGCCAGCCCAGTTCTGGAAAAGTATTCTATGGACAGATGAGACAAAGATCAACCTGTACCAGAATGATGGGAAGAAAAAAGTTTGGAGAAGAAAGGGAACGGCACATGATCCAAGGCACACCACATCCTCTGTAAAACATGGTGGAGGCAACGTGATGGCATGGGCATGCATGGCTTTCAATGGCACTGGGTCACTTGTGTTTATTGATGACATAACAGCAGACAAGAGTAGCCGGATGAATTCTGAAGTGTACCGGGATATACTGTCAGCCCAGATTCAGCCAAATGCTGCAAAGTTGATCGGACGGCGCTTCACAGTACAGATGGATAATGACCCCAAGCATACAGCCAAAGCTACCCAGGAGTTCATGAGAGCAAAAAGGTGGAATATTCTGCAATGGCCAAGTCAATCACCAGATCTTAACCCAATTGAGCATGCATCTCACTTGCTCAAATCCAGACTTCAGACGGAAAGACCCACTAACAAGCAAGACCTGAAGGCTGCGGCTGTAAAGGCCTGGCAAAGCATTAAGGAGGAGGAGCGTTTGGTGGTCCATTGGGGTTCCAGACTTAAGGCAGTGATTGCCTCCAAAGGATTCGCAACAAAATATTGAGAAAAAACTTTTTTGTTTGGGTTATGTTTATATGTCCAATTACTTTTGAGCTCCTAAAATGTGGAGTGTTTGTAAACAAATGTGTACAATTCCTACATTTTCTATCACATATTTTTGTTCAACCCTTTAAGTTAAACGTTACAATTTGCACGTGAATTCTGTTGTAGAGGTTTCATTTCAAATCCAATGCGGTGGCGTGCAGAGCCCAACTCACAAATATTGTCAAACCACAATCCAAATATTTCTGGCCCTAACTGTATGAATGACATAATGACTTAATTTAGTCATGCTTTCATTAGCTTAGCTACTTAGTTGAAGTGTCTCCATGTAACTCATTTGATAAAAGAAAAGGAACATGTAAAAAAAAGTAACAGTAAATATTTTAATCAATAACATTATTTATTTTCTGTCTTTGAGGCGATTACGTTACATGTTTATTGTTATGTGTCCAAAAATGTGATCAAGACAGAATTGGGATGACAAAATACTTTACTTAAAATACTTGTAAAAAATATCAAAAGAAAATGGATTTAATAAAAAGGGTCAGTTACTACAAAAGAATTATGGATATGACATTGAAAATTGATTAACACAGATTTTCTTTAAGTTGCAGAAGAAAGATCAGAAAAGGATGGGGGTTGGAATCGTAATACCACTCCTAATAATCCTAGCAGGTAAGTAAGATTAGACAAAATAAGGTTCATGGTGGGAAGACACCATCCTTAACTTGTATTTTAGGACCAGATGAGATGCACTAAATGACTTAAATGTCAATACAGAATTAGCATTTAACCCTGTATGTGATAAATGATAGTGATGAATGATCTGTTTTCTTGACTCAGCGGCAGAAATTACAGCTCAGGCATACACAACCACAGCTTCTACAACCACAACAGCTCCAACCACAACCACAGCTTCTCCAACCACAACGACAGCTGCTCCAACCACAACTACAGCTGCACCAACTACAACCACTGCGTCTCCAACCACAACTACAGTAGCTCCAACCACGACCACAGCTTCTCCAACCACAACAACAAATGCTCCAACTACAACCACAGCAGGTGCAACAACAACCACAGCTTCTCCAACCACAACCACAACTTCTCAAACCACAACAACAGCTGCTCCAACCACAACAACAGCTGCTCCAACTACAACTACAGCTGCTCCAACTACAACTACAGCTGCTCCAACCACGACCACAGCTGCTCCAACTACAACAACAGCTGCTCCAACCACAACCACAGCTTCTTCAACCACAACTACAACTGCTCAAACTACAACCACAGCTTCTCCAACCACAACAACAGCTGCTCCAACCATGACCACAACTTCTCCAACCACAACAACAGCTGCTCCATCCACAACAACAGCAGCTGCAACCACAACCACAGCTTCTCCAACCACAACCACAACAGCTCCAACCACAACCACAGCTTCTCCAACCACAACCACAACCACAGCATCTCCAACCACAACAACAGCTGCTCCAACCACAACAGCTGCATCAACTACAACAGCTGCTCCAACTACAACCACCGCGTCTCCAACCACAACTACAGTAGCTCCAACCACGACCACAGCTTCTCCAACCACAACAACAAATGCTCCAACTACAACCACAGCAGCTGCAACTACAACCACAGCTGCTCCAACTACAACAACAGCAGCTCCAACCACAACCACAGCTTCTCCAACCACAACTACAGCTGCTTCAACCACAACAACAGCTGCTCCAACCACAACAGCTGCTCCAACTACAACAGCTGCTCCAACCACAACCACAACTGCTCCAACCACAACCACAGCTTCTCCAACCACAACAACAATTACCACAACTACAACACAGCTTCTCCAACAACAACAACAGCTACTCCAACAACAACAACAACAACAGCTTCTCAGACCACAACAACAAATGCTCCAACTACAACCACAGCAGCTGCAACCACAACCACAGCTGCTCCAACTACAACAACAGCAGCTGCAACCACAACCACAACTTCTCCAACCACAACAACAGCTGCTCCAACTACAACAACAGCTGCTCCAACTACAACCACAGCTGCTCCAACTACAACAACAGCAGCTCCAACCACAACCACAGCTTCTCCAACCACAACTACAGCTGCTCCAACCACAACAACAGCTGCTCCAACCACAACCACAGCTTCTCCAACTACAACAACAGCTGCTCCAACCACAACAACAGCTGCTCCAACTACAACCACAGCAGCTGAAACCACAACCACAGCTTCTCCAACCACAACCACAGCTTCTCCAACCACAACAACAGCTGCTCCAACCACAACAACAGCTGCTCCAACTACAACTACAGCTGCTCCAACCACGACCACAGCTGCTCCAACTACAACAACAGCTGCTCCAACCACAACCACAGCTTCTCCAACCACAACTACAACTGCTCCAACTACAACCACAGCTTCTCCAACCACAACAACAGCTGCTCCAACCACAACAACAGCTGCTCCAACCACGACCACAACTTCTCCAACCACAACAGCTGCTCCAACTACAACCACAGCAGCTCCAACCACAACCACAGCTTCTCCAACCACAACCACAACAGCTCCAACCACAACCACAGCTTCCCCAACCACAACCACAGCTTCTCCAACCACAACCACAGCTGTTCCAACCACAACAGCTGCTCCAACTACAACAATATCTGCTCCAACTACAACCAACGCGTCTCCAACCACAACTACAGTAGCTCCAACCACGACCACAGCTTCTCCAACCACAACAACAAATGCTCCAACAACAACCACAGCAGCTGCAACTACAACCACAGCTGCTCCAAGTACAACAACAGCAGCTCCAACCACAACCACAACTTCTCCAACCACAACTACAGCTGCTCCAACCACAACAGCTGCTCCAACCACAACAGCTGCTCCAACTACAACAACAGCTGCTCCAACCACAACTACAGCTTCCCCAACCACAACAACAGCTGCTTCAACAACAACCACAGCTGCTCCAACTACAACACCAGCAGCTACAACTACAACAACAGCAGCTCCAACCACAACCACAGCTTCTCCAACCACAACTACAGCTGCTCCAACCACAACCACAGCTTCTCCAACAACAACTACAGCTGCTCCAACCACAACCACACCTTCTCCAACCACAACTACAGCTGCTCCAACCACAACAACAGTTGCTACAACTACAACAACAGCTTCTCCAACAACAACAACAGCTTTTCCAACAACAACAACAGCTGCTCCAACTACAACCACAGCAGGTGCAACAACAACCACAGCTGCTCCAACCACAACCACAACTGCTCCAACCACAACAACAGCTGCTCCAACCACAACAACAGCTGCTCCAACCACAACTACAGCTGCTCCAACCACAACCACAGCTGCTCCAACTACAACAACAGCTGCTCCAACCACAACCACAACTTCTCCAACCACAACTACAGCTGCTCCAACTACAACCACAGCTTCTCCAACCACAACAACAGCTGCTCCAACTACAACCACAGCTGCTACAACTACAACAACAGCTTCTCCAACTACAACAACAGCTGTTCCAACAACAACAACAGCTGCTCCAACTACAACCACAGCAGGTGCAACAACAACCACAGCTTCTCCAACGACAACCACAACTTCTCAAACCACAACAACAGCTGCTCCAACCACAACAACAGCTGCTCCAACTACAACCACAGCTGCTCCAACCACAACAACAACTGCTCCAACAACAACCACAGCAGCTCCAACAACAACCACAGCTGCTCCAACAACAACAACAGCTCCAACCACAACCACAACTTCTCCAACCACAACCACAACTGCTCCAACCTCAACCACAGCTGCCCCAACCACAACCACAACCACAGCTTCTCCAACCACAACAACAGCTGCTCCAACCACAACAGCTGCATCAACCACAACAACAGCTGCTCCAACCACAACCACCGCATCTCCAACCACAACTACAGCAGCTCCAACCACGACCACAGCTTCTCCAACCACAACAACAATTGCTCCAACTACAACCACAGCAGCTGCAACTACAACCACAGCTTCTCCAACTACAACAACAGCAGCTCCAACCACAACCACAGCTTCTCCAACCACAACTACAGCTGCTCCAACCACAACAGCTGCTCCAACTACAACAGATGCTCCAACCACAACCACAGCTGCTCCAATCACAACCACAGCTTCTCCAACCACAACAACAGTTTCTACAACTACAACAACAGCTTCTCCACAACAACAACAGCTTCCCCAACAACAACAACAACAACAACAACAACAACTACAGCTGCTCCAACCACAACCACACCAACTCCAACTACAACAACAGCTGTTCCAACAACAACAACAGCTGCTCCAACTACAACCACAGCAGGTGAAACAACAACCACAGCTTCTCCAACGACAACCACAACTTCTCAAACCACAACAACAGCTGCTCCAACCACAACAACAGCTGCTCCAACTACAACTACAGCTGCTCCAACCACGACCACAGCTGCTCCAACTACAACAGCTGCTCCAACAACCACAGCTTCTCCAACCACAACTACAGCTGCTCCAACTACAACCACAGCTGCTCCAACCACAACAACAGCTGCTCCAACCACAACAACAGCTGCTCCAACCACAACCACATCTTCTCCAACCACAACAACATCAGCTCCAACCACAACCACAGCAGCTGCAACCACAACCACAGCTTCTCCAACCACAACCACAACAGCTCCAACCACAACCACAGCTTCCCCAACCACAACCACAGCTTCTCCAACCACAACAACAGCTGCTCCAACCACAACAGCTGCTCCAACTACAACAATATCTGCTCCAACTACAACCAACGCGTCTCCAACCACAACTACAGTAGCTCCAACCACGACCACAGCTTCTCCAAACACAACAACAAATGCTCCAACAACAACCACAGCAGGTGCAACTACAACAACAGCTGCTCCAACTACAACAGCGGCTCCAACCACAACCACAACTTCTCCAACCACAACTACAGCTGCTGCAACCACAACAGCTGCTCCAACCACAACAGCTGCTCCAACTACAACAACAGTTGCTCCAACCACAACCACAGCTTCCCCAACCACAACAACAGCTGCTTCAACAACAACTACAGCTGCTCCAACTACAACACCAGCAGCTACAACTACAACAACAGCAGCTCCAACCACAACCACAGCTTCTCCAACCACAACTTCATCTGCTCCAATCACAACCACAGCTTCTCCAATAACAACTACAGCTGCTCCAACCACAACCACACCTTCTCCAACCACAACAACAGCTGCTCCAACCACAACAACAGTTGCTACAACTACAACAACAGCTTCTCCAACAACAACAACAGCTGTTCCAACAACAACAACAGCTGCTCCAACCACAACCACAGCAGCTCCAACCACAACCACAGCTTCTCCAACCACAACCACAGCTGCACCAACCACAACTACAGCTGCTCCAATCACAACCACAGCTGCTCCAACGACAACTACAGCTACTCCAACCACAACCACAGCAGCTCCAACGACAACTACAGCTGCTCCAACCACAACCACAGCTTCTCCAACAACAACCACAGCTGCTCCAACCACAACCACAGCTTCTCCAACCACAACAACAGCTGCTCCAACCACAACAACAGCTGCTACAACTACAACAACAGCTGCTCCAACTACAACAACAGCTGCTCCAACAACAACTACAGCTGCTCCAACCACGACCACAGCTGCTCCAACTACAACAACAGCTGCTCCAACCACAACCACAGCTGCTCCAACAACAACTACATCTGCTCCAACCACAACCACATCTGCTCCAACCACAACAACAGCTGCTCCAACCACAACAACAGTTGCTACAACTACAACAACACCTTCTCCAACAACAACTACAGCTGCTCCAACCACGACAACAGCTGCTCCAACTACAACAACAGCTGCTCCAACCACAACCACAGCTTCTCCAACAACAACTACAGCTGCTCCAACCACAACCACAGCTTCTCCAACCACAACAACAGCTGCTCCAACCACAACAACAGCTGCTCCAACCACAACAACAGCTGCTCCAACTACAACTACAGCTGCTCCAACCACAACAACAGATGCTCCAACAACAACCACAGCAGCTCCAACCACAACCACAGCTGCTCCAAGTACAACAACAGCAGCTCCAACCACAACCACAACTTCTCCAACCACAACTACAGCTGCTGCAACCACAACAGCTGCTCCAACCACAACAGCTGCTCCAACTACAACAACAGTTGCTCCAACCACAACCACAGCTTCCCCAACCACAACAACAGCTGCTTCAACAACAACTACAGCTGCTCCAACTACAACAACAGCAGCTCCAACTACAACAACAGCTTCTCCAACAACAACAGCTGCTCCAACAACAACAACAGCTGCTCCAACTACAACAACAGCTGCTCCAACCACAACTACAGCTGCTCCAACTACAACACAGCTGCTCCAACCACAACCACAGCTTCTCCAACCACAACTACAACTGCTCCAACCACAACCACAGCTTCTCCAACCACAACTACAGCTGCTCCAACTACAACCACAGCTACTCCAACCACAACAACAGCTGCTCCAACCACAACAACAGCTGCTCCAACCACGACCACAACTTCTCCAACCACAACTACAGCTGCTCCAACTACAACCACAGCAACTCCAACCACAACAACTGCTCCAACCACAACAACAGCTGCTCCAACCACGACAACTGCTCCAACTACAACCACAGCTACTCCAACCACAACAACAGCTGCTCCAACCACAACAACAGCTGCTCCAACCACAACCACAACTCCTCCAACCACAACAACAGCTGCTCCAACTACAACCACAGCAGCTGCAACCACAACCACAGCTTCTCCAACCACAACCACAACAGCTCCAACCACAACCACAGCTTCCCCAACCACAACCACAGCTTCTCCAACCACAACAACAGCTGCTCCAACCACAACAGCTGCTCCAACTACAACAACAGTTGCTCCAACCACAACCACAGCTTCTCCAACCACAACAACAGCTGCTCCAACAACAACTACAGCTGCTCCAACTACAACAACAGCAGCTACAACTACAACAACAGCAGCTCCAACCACAACCACAGCTTCTCCAACCACAACTTCAGCTGCTCCAACCACAACCACAGCTTCTCCAACCACAACTACAGCTGCTCCAACCACAACCACACCTGCTCCAACCACAACAACAGCTGCTCCAACCACAACAACAGCTGCTCCAACTACAACAACAGCTGCTCCAACAACAACAACAGCTGCTCCAACAACAACAACAGCTGCTCCAACTACAACCACAGCAGGTGCAACAACAACCACAGCTTCTCCAACGACAACCACAACTTCTCAAACCACAACAACAGCTGCTCCAACCACAACAACAGCTGCTCCAACTACAACCACAGCTGCTCCAACCACAACCACAGCCGCTCCAACTACAACAACAGCTGCTCCAACCACAACCACAGCTTCTCCAACAACAACGACAGCTGCTCCAACCACAACCACACCTTCTCCAACCACAACAACAGCTGCTCCAACCACAACAACAGTTGCTACAACTACAACAACACCTTCTCCAACTACAACAACAGCTGTTCCAACAACAACTACAGCTGCTCTAACCACGACCACAGCTGCTCCAACTACAACAACAGCTGCTCCAACCACAACCACAGCTTCTCCAACAACAACTACAGCTGCTCCAACCACAACCACACCTTCTCCAACCACAACAACAGATGCTCCAACCACAACAACAGTTGCTACAACTACAACAAACCTTCTCCAACTACAACTACAGCTGCTCCAACCACGACCACAGCTGCTCCAACTACAACAACAGCTGCTCCAACCACAACCACAGCTTCTCCAACAACAACTACAGCTGCTCCAACCACAACCACACCTTCTCCAACCACAACAACAGCTGCTCCAACCACAACAACAGCTGCTCCAACCACAACAACAGCTGCTCCAACTACAACTACAGCTGCTCCAACCACAACAACAAATGCTCCAACAAGAACCACAGCATCTCCAACTACAACCACAGCTGCTCCAACTACAACAACAGCAGCTCCAACCACAACCACAGCTTCTCCAACAACAACAGCTGCTGCAACCACAACAACTGCTCCAACCACAACAGCTGATCCAACTACAACAACAGTAGCTCCAACCACAACAACAGCTGCTCCAACCACAACAACAGCTGCTCCAACAACAACTACAGCTGCTCCAACTACAACAACAGCAGCTACAACTACAACAACAGCAGCTCCAACCAAAACCACAGCTTCTCCAACCACAACTTCATCTGCTCCAACCACAACCACAGCTTCTCCAACAACAACTACAGCTGCTCCAACCACAACCACAGCTTCTCCAACCACAACAACAGCTGCTCCAACCACAACAACAGCTGCTCCAACTACAACAACAGCTTCTCCAACAACAACAACAGCTGTTCCAACAACAACAACAGCTGCTCCAACTACAACTACAGCTGCTCCAACCACGACCACAGCTGCTCCAACTACAACAACAGCTGCTCCAACCACAACCACAGCTTCTCCAACCACAACTACAGCTGCTCCAACTACAACCACAGCTTCTCCAACCACAACAACAGCTGCTCCAACCACAACAACAGCTGTTCCAACCACAACCACAACTGCTCCAACCACAACAACAGCTGCTCCAACTACAACCACAGCAGCTGCAACCACAACCACAGCTTCTCCAACCACAACCACAACAGCTCCAACCACAACCAAAGCTTCCCCAACCACAACCACAGCTTCTCCAACCACAACAACAGCTGCTCCAACCACAACAGCTGCTCCAACTACAACAATATCTGCTACAACTACAACCACCGCGTCTCCAACCACAACTACAGTGGCTCCAACCACGACCACAGCTTCTCCAACCACAACAACAAATGCTCCAACAACAACCACAGCAGCTGCAACTACAACCACAGCTGCTCCAAGTACAACAACAGCAGCTCCAACCACAACCACAACTTCTCCAACTGCAACTACAGTTGCTGCAACCACAACAGCTGCTCCAACCACAACAGCTGCTCCAACTACAACAACAGTTGCTCCAACCACAACCACAGCTTCCCCAACCACAACAACAGCTGCTTCAACAACAACTACAGCTGCTCCAACCACAACACCAGCAGCTACAACCACAACAACAGCAGCTCCAACCACAACCACAGCTTCTCCAACCACAACTACATCTGCTCCAACCACAACCACAGCAGCTCCAACCACAACCACAGCTGCTCCAACCACAACTACAGCAGCTCCAACCACAACCACAGCTGCTCCAATCACAACTACAGCTGCTCCAACTACCACCACAGCTTCTCCAACAACAACAACAGCTGCTCCAACCACAACAACAGCTGCTCCAACCACAACAATATCTGCTACAACTACAACCACCGCGTATCCAACCACAACTACAGTGGCTCCAACCACGACCACAGCTTCTCCAACCACAACAACAAATGCTCCAACAACAACACAGCAGCTGCAACTACAACCACAGCTGCTCCAAGTACAACAACAGCAGCTCCAACCACAACCACAACTTCTCCAACCGCAACTACAGTTGCTGCAACCACAACAGCTGCTCCAACCACAACAGCTGCTCCAACAACAACTACAGCTGCTCCAACTACAACACCAGCAGCTACAACTACAACAACAGCAGCTCCAAGCACAACCACAGCCTCTCCAACCACAACTTCATCTGCTCCAACCACAACCACAGCAGCTCCAACAACTACAGCAGCTCCAACCACAACCACAGCTTCTCCAACCACAACTACAGCTGCTCCAACCACAACAACAGCTGCTCCAACCACAACCACAGCTTCTCCAACCACAACCACAGCTTCCCCAACCACAACAGCTGCTTCAACAACAACTACAGCTGCTCTAACTACAACAACAGCAGCCACAACTACAACAGCAGCTCCAACCACAACCACAGCTTCTCCAACTACAACAACAGCTGCTCCAACCACAACCACACCTTCTCCAACCACAACAACAGCTGCTCCAACCACAACAACAGTAGTTCCAACCACGACCACAGCTTCTCCAACCACAACAACAAATGCTCCAACAACAACCACCGCAGCTCCAACTACAACCACAGCTGCTCCAACTACAACAACAGCAGCTCCAACCACAACAGCTGCTCCAACTACAACAACAGCTGCTCCAACCACAACCACACCTTCTCCAACCACAACAACAGCTGCTTCAACAACAACAACAGTTGCTACAACTACAACCACAGCAGCTGCATCCACAACCACAGCTTCTCCCACCACAACCACAGCTTCTCCAACCACAACAACAGCTGCTCCAACTACAACCACAGCTTCTCCAACTACAACCACAACAGCTCCAGCCACAACCACTGCTTCCCCAACCACAACCACAGCTTCTCCAACCACAACAGCTGCTCCAACCACAACAGCTGCTCCACCTACAACAACAGCTGCTCCAACTACAACCACCGCGTCTCCAACCACAACTACAGCTGCTCCAACCACAACCACAGCTGCTCCAACAACAACAGCTGCTCCAACAACAACAACAGCTGCTCCAACCACAACAACAGCAGCCACAACTACAACAGCAGCTCCAACCACAACCACAGCTTCTCCAACCACAACTACAGCTACTCCAACCACAACAACAGCTGCTCCAACCACAACGACATCTGCTCCAACCACAACTACAGCTGCTCCAACAACAACAGCTCCTCCAACTACAACCACAGCAGCTCCAACCACAACAACAGCTGCTCCAACCACAACTACAGCTGCTCCAACAACAACAGCTCCTCCAACCACAACCACCACAGCTCCAACCACAACTACAGAAGCTCCTGCACTGATAAGGCTGCTGGTTTTTAAGTCTAATGAAAATTTCACCTCAGATTTGGCAGACTCATCAACATCAGCATTTCAAACACGTTCTGGACATATAAGGAATAGTGTATGTTTACCCTTCATACTCACGTAACAATTTCAATTTTATTTTTTAAAATTGAATTGATGTAGATAAATAAAGTTAAATGGGGTTTTAAATATATTCAAGCATCACATCATAAAATGTAGATTTTCATTTAAAGGAAGATCTATATTTTCTAAATCAACCATTAAAAACCATATATATTCAGTGTACAACTGTGTTTTTAGTGACATTCTAGGAAATACATTTTCAAAAACTGTATTCTTAACTGGTTTTCTTATTTTAATGTAGCTTGAACCACGTTTCAGAAAAGTGTTCACTTTATTCTTAAGGATTGGAGCTATAAAATTCAGGTAATTAGTCTGGAGTTTGGCCAGGAATAAACACCTTTGTCAGAACTTTGCAGATGTTGACTAAGTATTCTACTCTTTTCCAGTGCGGGATCAATCATCAACTCCGTGGACCTTGAATTTGAGTCATCATCAACTCCTAATGATACACTTATCTCAGACACCTTGGTTACTGAGGCTTCAAATATTACAGAATTTAACATAGATGTTACGACCATCTCTGTCAGCAACCCAGGTAAGAAAAAATTAATACGTTCAAGGAAATGAAATACTTGCAAAATAAATCCAAAACACACAAACAGAAAAGTTCATAAAAATATTTTTAAAAACGGCAGATCCAACAACAACTACAGCGGTTCCAACCACAACTAGAGTGGCTCCAACCACAACTACAGCTGCTCCAACCACAACTACAGCTGCTCCAACCACAACTACAGAAGCTCCAACCACAACCACATCAGCTCCAACCACAACCACAGCAGCTTCAACCACAACAACATCTGTTCCAATTACAACCACCGCAGCTCCAAATACAACCACCGCAGCTCCAAATACAACAGCAGCACCAACCACAACCACATCAGCTCCAACCACAACCACAGCAGCTTCAACCACAACATCTGTTCCAACTACAACCACCGCAGCTCCAAATACAACAGCAGCACCAACCACAACCACATCAGCTCCAACCACAACAACATCTGTTCCAATTACAACCACCGCAGCTCCAAATACAACCACCGCAGCTCCAACAACAACCACCGCAGCTCCAAATACAACAGCAGCACCAACCACAACCACATCAGCTCCAACCACAACCACAGCAGCTTCAACCACAACATCTGTTCCAATTACAACCACCGCAGCTCCAAATACAACCACCGCAGCTCCAAATACAACCACCGCAGCTCCAAATACAACCACCGCAGCTCCAAATACAACAGCAGCACCAACCACAACCACATCAGCTCCAAATACAACCACCGCAGCTCCAACAACAACCACCGCAGCTCCAAATACAACAGCAGCACCAACCACAACCACATCAGCTCCAACCACAACCACAGCAGCTTCAACCACAACAACATCTGTTCCAATTACAACCACCGCAGCTCCAAATACAACCACCGCAGCTCCAAATACAACCACCGCAGCTCCAAATACAACCACCGCAGCTCCAAATACAACCACCGCAGCTCCAAATACAACCACCGCAGCTCCAAATACAACCACTGCAGCTCCAAATACAACCACCGCAGCTCCAACCACAACCACATCAGCTCCAACCACAACATCTGTTCCAATTACAACCACCGCAGCTCCAAATACAACCACCGCAGCTCCAAAAACAACCACCGCAGCTCCAAATACAACCACCGCAGCTCCAACAACAACCACCGCAGCTCCAAATACAACCACCGCAGCTCCAAATACAACCACCGCAGCTCCAAATACAACCACCGCAGCTCCAAATACAACCACCGCAGCTCCAAAAACAACCACCGCAGCTCCAAATACAACCACCGCAGCTCCAAATACAACCACCGGAGCTACAAATACAACCACCGCAGCTCCAAATACAACCACCGCAGCTCCAAATACAACCACCGCAGCTCCAAATACAACCACCGCACCTCCAAATACACCACTGGAGCTCCAAATACAACCACTGCAGCTCCAAAGACAATCACGGCAGCTCCAAATACAACCACCACAGCTCCAAATACAACCACCGCAGCTCCAAATACAACCACCGCAGCTCCAAATACAACCACCGCAGCTCCAAATACAACCACCGCAGCTCCAAATACAACCACCGCAGCTCCAAATACAACCACCGCAGCTCCAAAGACAACCACCGCAGCTCCAAATACAACCACCGCAGCTCCAAATACAACCACCGCAGCTCCAAATACAACCACCGCAGCTCCAAATACAACCACCGCAGCTCCAAATACAACCACCGCAGCTCCAAATACAACCACCGCAGCTCCAAATACAACCACCGCAGCTCCAACAACAACCACTGCAGCTCCAAATACAACCACCGCAGCTCCAACCACAACCACATCAGCTCCAACCACAACCACAGCAGCTTCAACCACAACATCTGTTCCAATTACAACCACCGCAGCTCCAAATACAACCACCGCAGCTCCAACAACAACAGCAGCACCAACCACAACAACAGCAGCTTCAACAACAACAACTCCAACCACAGTTGCTCCCACCTCAACCACAACAGCTCTAACTGCAAACACAACTCCAACCACTACAATAGCATCTCCAACCACAACAGTGGCTACATCCACAACCACAGATGCTCCAACCACAACCACCACTCTAGCTACAACCAAACCAACGACTACTCCAACAACACCAACTACTCTTGTGACGACTACAACTACAACAACTCCAGCTCCTCCTCCAGTGTTTGTTGTCGCAGCAACTGTGGTTGAACCATTTGTTGAAGAGTTTAATGACAGATTTAGCGTGCAATTCAAAGCTCTTGAAGTAAAAGTGGTAGCAGTGGTGAGTGGTTCATCCAAAATCTATTGGTATTTAATTTGTTTCATCTGAGGATTATTTTGCTGTGACATTTAACATGTTTTCTCTTTTCCAGTATGATATCATCTACAGAGCAAGATATGGAATTTTCTTCATCCGGAGTTTTGTCATTGCCTTCAGGTTTGTTTGCTTCTTTTCTTCATTAGTCAAGTCAGTCTACTTGTATATTTTATTCACATTTATAGTGGTATTGACCAACTGGGAACAAAGTGATTTGAAAGACATATTACACCTAATTGATTATTTCCACTACATACGTAGGATTTTAATATTTGAAATCAGGTTGAGCGTTGATCTTTTTTTTTCAGACCTGCCGTCACCAGGTTACGAATGAATGGTACTCAAGCAGAGGTGGGCGTAGAGTTCAATAAAGCCACACCAGCTGAGACAATCCCAAAGGCTGAAGAGGTTCAACAAACACTAAAGGAGGCCGTGAATAACCCCAACATCACTTTGAATGTCACATTCGACGCGGCTTCCATTCAAATCATACGTAAGACAAAATGTCAGAAACACATAAATCCAAATATTTAGAGTTACTCAAGTAATCTTACTCTATACTTATATTTTTAATTAGCCTAATTCTCTGCGGAGTAGCATGACTCTAAGTATCTTTAATTTTGTAATTAGGCACATGATTGCTGTAAAGAGTTTATTTCCTACTATAAAAATTTTTGTTTCAAGACCCCGAATCCCTTCAAATTCAAATTTTCTGAAGGTCTGATACTGCTATCATTTACGTTTGATCAAAATCATGATATATATTGGTAAAATGATCATTTTCGGCACATTTTTGGTCATTACAAATTTTTTTTTTAGGAATCATCTCTGAAAAACATATTTAAGTGTTTATTTCACTCTCAAACTAAAAATACTACAAAATAAATTTGGGGTTATTAAATGTGAACATTTTAATAATTTTCTTGTTTTATATTTTCGGCAATGAAACAGTGAATTTATTGTCAAAAGGAAAAGACAGAAGTTTGAAAACATTTGATTTGACTTACCAAGTTGCCGACAATTGGCCGTGACGTGTGTAATGCGTCAGTTCAAACTTGAACAGAATCTACACCTGTAAACAATCATCACTCTTGGACCTTCTGTTTGAAGTGAGAGTACAGAACAGGGGACTGATTTTACCAAGCTATCCTCCCAGTGGAACATGACTGGAAAACTTCCAAGCGGAGTGAGAAATTCTGAGGATCTTTGTCATCGCTAATTGTCTTTTAAAATATGATTTCAAAACAATTATTTCATTCATTGTTATTTTTATCACTATGAAGAAAAAGCCGTTGACTTTCAGGTTAATTTTGAAACAACAAATCAAGCAATTCCTCTCTTTATTTATCAGCACAATAGTAACTGAAAAAAGAGTTCAAAGAGAATTAATTCTGTGCAAAATATGCACAGAATGATTTAAAAAAAACACTCACACACTAACTACATAGTTTAATTTCATTATAATAAATTTTAAGTTGATTACTTATTGCTTTCACTTTAATAAAAACAAGAAAAATGATACATTTTACATTTTTTTGTTATTTTTCTGGAAACTAATATGTTGCTTTCAATGCTTGTGTTTATTTGGCAGGAGTACCTGCAACTGCAGCCCCGGTAGTTTTGCAAAACACAACAATTACAACAAATGAAACTGCTGCAAACATCACTACCGGTGCAGCAACAACAAATCCTGGAACATCAGCTGCCAGCAATGCAACAAATGAAACTGCTGCAAACATCACTACCGGAGCAGCAACAACAAATCCTGGAACATCAGCTGCCAGCAATGCAACAACTGTAGCACTTACTACAGTTACAACCACTACAACAACAACCACAACTGTGGTGCAAACACTAAGGCAGCTGACCTTTAGGTCTCCCGGAGAGACCTTTACAACTGATTTGCTCGACTCAACCTCAACAGCATTTAAAAACCGAGCTGCACTTTTAAAGTCCACTGTGAGTAATTTTCTTTTAACTTTGTAACATCTAACTGATCACAACATATTTGCTACATACAGTATATTGAGCAATGTGGAAAGAGACTTTCAAAAAAATGTAAAATTAAAGTATATTTTTATTGAGATTCTACTGAAATATATTCCTCATTCTGTATATTTTGTATGAATAATTTCAATAATGTTCTAAATAACACAACTTTGTTTAGTTGTGTTATTTACACATCGAGCATCGCGATTTGATTCGAACTTTCTTCTTTCTTCAGCTTGAACCATTCTACAGGCGATCATTTTCTTCATTCAGTGATCTAACAGTGAAGTCTTTCAGGTAATTTGTTTACAGTATTCTAATTATTATTTTCTTTTAGTTCTTTTAACTCACATCATATGTTTTTTGTTGTATAGAAACGGCTCTATCATCAATGAAATGGAGCTTCGATTTGCATCTGCATCTGCTCCTACTGGCTCCGAAATTGCACAAGTTTTGGTGAACGCAGCTTCAAACATCACTGTCTTCACCATTGATGCTACTAGCATTTCTGTCGACGGAACACGTAAGCTAAAATAAATGATCAAGATAATTATCTACATAAGCCGTTTTGATATCGAACATTTGGTTGACATCGTGTTTTGCTTTCTCAATGTTTACAGAAGTGTCAAGTGGAGCAAGCCACAAGATCAGCCTCATCATGGCTTTCTGCGTGGTCCTGTTGTCATGGATGTTGTCAAGTCAACACTAACATCTCTGCTAATTTCTAGTGGATGATCTGCTTAAAAAATAGAAACAACCCAAGACATCACGAGAGGGCATTTTGTTTAAGAGATACAATTAGTCAACATTTTCCAAGCATGTTTCAGCAAATCATCAGTCAAAACCTTTAATACTGCTAAAACCACATTTATTATTTGTTCTACTTGTGAGGATGTTATTAGGATCTTGTTACTTTGGCAGCAAAATCCTGGATCTAGTCTATGAAGAAAAAAACTTAATGTATTTCCTGCTTCTATTGAAAGAGTCATTTATGTTGTCTAAAGAAGTGATGTAAGATTTAAAGCTTTTTCTCTCAAAGTAACTACTTTATTCTTACACAAAGTTTAATTATTGTGTTCATTATTTATATATGTATATTTGAAATACTATTTAAGGAATTGCCTGAACGGCTGATTAGTAGGTGATAATTTATGCAAGAATTCTCCATAAATGAATGCTGTGGGATGAAAGAAAAGAAGAACATCTGAAACTTTTGTGATTATTTAGTTTTTCTTTTCAATATAAACTTGTAAATGAGATCGGTTGTTTCTGTATGCAGTATTCCCTTAAGTGTTATGCAATCATATTTACATGTAACTAATGAAGAAATTTAAGAACAGGCACTATCAACATTAAATTACACTCATATGAGATTATTGCAATATTTATCTTTTGGGTGAAAGATGTGTTGAAGGGTATAAAATCAATGTAGCTGTTTCCAATAAAGAAATTGATATGTAAAAGTATTGCTTCTATTCTATTCTGAACAACAAATACGCCACCGAGTCATTGGGCTTGGCGACATAGCTGAAAAAAAAAAGAAAAGTCAGATTTTTTAAATACTAAATCTGATGTCTGATTTAAATTTTTAAAAATGTATCACTTTTTCTTTTCTTTTTTTTTTCAGAAAAGTACAAATCACATGAAGCATTTTCAAAGACATGCTTTTTCTTCAATCATCCCTTCTTGAAATTTATATGAATTCAAAGTCCAAATAAATACAATCTGTAAACCATGTTTATAAAACAAGATGGCAGGCCTTGGATGGGCTGAAGTGTGGGAGACCAAAGAAATCAAAAATTTTAAATGTCTCCAAAACTATCAATGCATTGATAACATTGCTTTATTGTCAACCCTAGTTCTCTCTATCTCTTTGATACAGATAAAAAGAACATTTTCTTTTTTATGCTTAAAAATGCACCATAAGTAGTTAAAAAAAATAACCTGTGCTCTTTTGAATATGTAACATACATCCCACAAACATCAAATATTTACATCATGTTGCAAGAACTGTAATTCAATTTTTTACTTTTGATATGAGCTTATCACCAGAGCCACAGATACATCATTTCATTTGTCATTTTTGTGCCATAATCAAACAGTTCATTTAAAATGGTCTGATTTCAAATTGCTTTTCCTTCATTACACTGTTAATACTTTCAATAATATTTTTACACATCCCTACTAGCGGCACCAATAAGCTTAAACATTACTGTAGTTGTGCAGAACTTGTTTTCCTTTCATTTGGTGCATGCCTTGACCAAAAAAGGAGTTTCATGAGTCATACCTTTGCAAAAGTAAGCAATTCTAAAACAGCACTGATTTTCACAATGTCTCACAGTAAAGTACCAAATGTCACAGCAGGAGAAGCAGGTAGAAAATCAGAATAACAAAGCTTGTGCACAAACAATAAGTCTCACTTCATCTTAGGCGTGTCTGTCCCTCATGCATTTTTTGTTTTTGTTTTGTTTTCCTTCACTCCTCACAGTGGGTATCCAGAAATTTTACTCCAGCAAGAGTTTTGATATCTTATAGAAGATAACGTTTAACTAATCTTCATAATCTTCTTTTTGAGAAAATCATGAAGGCCTCCAATAGGGAATGCCACCTTTTACTCGGCTTTTCTGACCACAGGAATCCTTTGTTTGCTGCTGACGTAGTTCATGCACTCAAGCAAATACAATATAAATCTCCTTAATACCAATACTGAAAACATACTTGTGTATTTATGGAATTTCAGCTGATGTTAACACAAGCAAGCTGCTGTCTTGTTTATGATCTTTCTTGCGGCATGTTTGTGGTGGTTTGGCCAGTTTTGCTGCTATTTATATATCAGGATGAAGAGTTTTCCCAAAAACAATTCTGTGTTCTTAAATAATAGTTGAAAAAACAACAAAAAACTTCCAAATATGTTTGATTTCAAATAGATTTTATATCAAAGATTTGGTATGCAATGTTGCATGGTTTTGGATTTAAAGTGTACTGGATACTGCTGGTTAAATTTTTCATATTAGTATTAGAGAAAAGAAGTAGATAGTATTATTATTATTATTGTATTTTAACCACTACACATATCTTAACAACATGGGGCATCTGTATACGTTATATTAAAAGTTGGGAAATATAATATCTTTATAAAATTTTATTCATTCGTTTTTGTATTTGTTTTTTTACTTTTACTCTCACATTGTCAAAAGGACAAATAAAAACGACTGAAAGGATTTCAAAAGGTTAAGTGGTTTGTGTAACTCTTCAAATATTGTGGAAAATGTAAAATTTAGAACATTTTGAACAGTGAATTTCTGTTTCTTTTTGAACCAGCTGACTTAAAACTGCAATAGCTCAAAATAAAATCTAATGTAGCAAAAACTTTTGTTTTAAACTTGAGAAATCTCTTAGTGACATCTACAACAGAAACATCTCTGATTATTACTGTACATTTTATTGTCATACTCTTAAACTGACTTAACACATTATTTGTTGTTGAATATAAAGTTTATTCCATTTAACAAGTTTGTACCAATATAAACTAATGTTACAGTGTTTGAAAAAATTAAACATGACGTCTTAATGATGTATTTGTATACAATGAAGTGTTGGATGTGAGAGAAACACGTCACAGCCACACCTTTGCATTCTTGCCCTTATGAATACTATTCACACAAACACACATGCAGTTTAAAAGCTTTTCATCTATGAGAAAAGGTCTGTCTAAATGGAACTAGAACCTATAATTAGTTTTTGAATACATCAGAAACTTTGTCTGTAACTTAAAACTTTGCACAAAACAATCTGTTCAGCTTTATAAAATTCTAGATTTCATAGCATCTGTGCTAAAAAAGACACATATCAGTGTCTTTGAAAAAAAAAGAATAAGAACCTATGGGGAAAATTAAAGTGTAAATTACTAAAACAACCAAGTAATTTGGTAAAACGCCTTATGTAACTATGAAACCCTCTGTCATTAGAAGGTGTCACACCTCTTTGCATAAACAGGACAAGATAATGACGTCTGGTTTGTTCACTTTGAACAAACCAGATTTGACAATGGGAATGCAAACCAAATTACCATTGTGGCTTTTTTTCATTCTTCTGACACCAACAATTCAAAAACATTTTTTTTCAACCTGCGTCAAACTTGCAATAGACAGGTAATATATAAGGTTCAGCAGCAGATTGGTTGACCAAGAGTTAGAGGAGAAGCAGGAGAGAGTTAGAAGAACTTTTGAAATCAGCTACTACTTTGGGTAAGTACATTCATAGTCTAATAATGCAAGGTTTTGTAATTCACATGTGCATAAAAATTCAAGGCTTTAGCTCTTCTTTGAGAAAATTATTTTGATGCGATTTGTGTTTAAGTTTCTCGCTGTCATTGTTTAGCTGTAATTTACCCCCCCCTCAAGACAACATTGATAAACAAAAAAGCCTGCTGTGTGAAGTTGCCAATAAATTTCCTAGATATTGATAAAGCTGTAATTTCCATTTAATGCAAATGTGAATTGGAATGAATGACCGGACTTACGTGTATTTATGAGTCTTCAGTATTGGCAAAATGACTAAATATGTAACATTTTCCACACAAAATACAATGGAGACAAGAAAAAAAAAAGAATAAGAACCTGTGGGGTTTAACAACTTTTAATTAACAATAAAGTGTAGATTATCACTGGGAACAAAATTTTGATGACAAAATATAATCTACAGAATACCTTGGCAAACCGTTAAATGACTGTAACATATTTAAAGTTTTTTAACTACATCAATATGGAAATATGTACTGCTTTTTTTTTAAATGTTTTAATTTTTAAAAGTTTTAATTATTTTAATTTCCAATCATGAAAGAACATTTTTTGTTAACAACCTTAAAAACCTAAAGAAGACATTGAATATGAATAAATACATTTGATGCGTGTTATATTTTGATAATTGTTTGATGATCGACTGACAGATACTCACAAAATGTGTTGAAATTTTTTCATTGTCTTCTGGTGAGGCCAGTTGAAGGCTGCTTTATTTTGTCTGTGTTTATTTAAACAGTTTAGAATTTGTTACAGTTGATTATTTACAATTTAAACAATTTATTAAAATTTAGTTATAATATATTGTTTACAATTAACCAAAATAAATATCAGTTATGTTCTTTTGTTTTTAAAATGGCTGTTTAGAAGAAAATTGAATTTATCTATTTAGTTGGTGGAAGAAATTATTGTCTGTAAAGTTACAAGTGTTGATGTGTTAAAACATTTTAGGACACAGATTGAAAATGGGGCCTAAAGGAATCTGGATGATACTACTAATACTAAATGGTAAGTTCACAGGAGTAAATCCTTAAAACAACTGTGTAAAAATGTAGTAGCAAAATAACAGTGTAATATAATAAAAACACTTTTCCAACATAAACCAACCGACAGCAAGTACAACGCTGATGGTTGCACAGCTTGCAATCACATCTGCACCAACCACGACAACAGCTGCTCCAACCACAACTACAGAAGCTCCAACCACAACTACAGAAGCTCCAACCACAACCACAGCAGCTCCAACCACAACAACAGCTGCTCCAACCACGACAACAGCTGCTCCAACCACAACAACAGCTCCTCCAACCACAACAACAGCAGCTCCAACCGCAACAACAGAAGCTCCAACCGCAACAACAGAAGCTCCAACCACGACAACAGCTGCTCCAACCACAACCACAGCATCTCCAACCACAACCACAGCATCTCCAACCACAACCACAGCAGCTCCAACCACATCTACAGAAGCTCCAACCACAACAGCAGCTCCAACCACAACAACAGCAGCTTCAACCACAACAACAGCTGCTCCAACCACGACAACGGCATCTCCAACCACAACAACAGCTGCTCCAACCACAACAACAGCAGCTCCAACCACAACCACATCAGCTCCAACGACTACAACAGCTGCTCCAACCACAACTACAGAAGCTCCAACCACAATCACAGCTGCTCCAACCACAACAGCTGCTCCAACCACAACAACAGTGTCTACAACCACAACAGAAGTTCCAACCACAACAGCAGCTCCAACCACAACTACGGCGGCTCCAACCACAACTACAGCAGCTTCAACCACGACCTCAGATTCTCCAACCAGAACTACAGCTGCTCCAACCGCAATTACAGCGGCTCCAACCACAACAGAAGCTCCAACCACAACAGCAGCTCCAACCACAACAACAGCTGCTCCAACCACAACCACAGATGCTCCAACCACAACCACAGCCGTTCCAAAATTAATAAGACAACTGAGTTTCACGTCTAATGAAAATTTTACTCCTGATTTGGGTGACCCATCATCAGAAGCATTCAGAGCACGCTCTGACAAAATTAAAAAGACAGTATGTATACAATTCTTTCTCACAGTTTCCCTTGTCATTTTGAAAAACAATTTTTGCTGCATAATTTAATAACATTTTCAGCATAAGTGATGTTTTGTTTTTCTGCACAAACTAACAATGGGCCTTTTTTTACAATTTAAATAAAGACAAACAATGTCTTGAAGACTATAAAACTTATAGCATATCTAGAATATTGTCTCAATATTTGCATCACACCAAATCATTTGAATTATTTAAAGAAACCTTTTGTGACGTCTTCGTAAAACAATTAAACAAAATGCTTTAACTATATTAATGTGTAGTAAGTCATATTCTGAAAAAAACCCAACTGCCTTCAATCTGACTTATTTTGAATTCTTTTTTATGTAGCTCGAACCAGTCTTCAAACGAACACTCCATGCCTTTTTAGGGGTGGGACGCATTATGTTCAGGTAATTTCTTTGTAGTTTGCCCATCAAATCATGAACATCATCATAAGACACTTGTAGACTTTAAAAAAACTGTTCTACTCTTTTCCAGTGCGGGATCAATCATCACCTCAGTGGACCTTGAATTTGAGTCATCGTCAACTCCTAATGATACACTAATCTCAGAAACGATGGTTACTGAGGCTTCAAATATTACAGAATTTAATGTGGATGTTACAACCATCTCTGTCAGCAACCCAGGTAAGAATAAATTAATACGTTCAAGAAAACCAAAGCTGCAAAACAAATAAAAAAACACTAACAGAAAATTTCATGAAAATATGTTTAAAAACGGCAGATCCAACAACAACCACAGCTGCTCCAACCACCACCACTGCTGCTCCAACCACAACAGCTGCTCCAACAACAACCACATCAGCTCCAACCACAACCACAGCTGCTCCAACTACAACAACAGCTGCTCCAACCACAACTACAGCTCCTCCAACCAGCACTACAGCAGCTCCAACAACAACAGCAGATCCAACCACCACCACTGCTGCTCCAACCACAACCACAGCTACTCCAACCACAACCACTGCTGCCCCAACGACAACCACAGCTGCCCCAACTACAACCACATCTGCTCCAACAACCACAGCTGCTCCAACCACAACCACATCAGCTCCAACCACAACCACTGCTGCTCCAACCACAACCACATCAGCTCCAACCACAACCACTGCTGCTCCAACCACAACCACTGCTGCTCCAACCACAACCACTGCTGCTCCAACCACAACCACAGCAGCTCCAACCACATCCACTGCTGCTCCAACCACAACCACTGCTTCTGCAGTGACCACCACAGCAGCTTTAACCAAAACTACAGCAGCTCCAACAACAACAACAGTGGCTCCAACCACAACTACAGCTCCTCCAACCAGCACTACAGAAGCTCCAACAACAACAGCAACTCCAACCACAACCACTGCTGCCCCAACGACAACCACAGCTGCCCCAACTACAACCACATCTGCTCCAACCACAACCATATCTGCTCCAACCACAACCACATCAGCTCCCACCACAACCTCTGCAGCTCCAACCACAACCACATCAGCTCCAACCACCACCACTGCAGCTCCAACCACCACCACTGCTGCTCCAACAACAACTGCTGTTCCAACCACAACCTCAGCAGCTCCAACCACAACCACAGCAGCTCCAACCACAACAACAGTTGCTCCAACCACAACTACAGCAACTCCAACGACAACCTCAGCAGATCCAACCACCACCACAGCTGCTCCAACCACCACCACTGCGTCTCCAATCACCACTACTGCTGCTCCAACCACAACCACAGCTGCCTCAACGACAACCACAGCTGCTCCAACCACAACGACAGTTGCTCCAACTACAACAACAGCTGCTCCAACAACTACATCTGCTCCAACCACAACCATATCTGCTCCAACCACAACCACATCAGCTCCAACCACATCAGCTCCCACCACAACCTCTGCAGCTCCAACCACAACCACATCAGCTCCAACCACCACCACTGCAGCTCCAACCACCACCACTGCTGCTCCAACAACAACTGCTGTTCCAACCACAACCTCAGCAGCTCCAACCACAACCACAGCAGCTCCAACCACAACAACAGTTGCTCCAACCACAACTACAGCAACTCCAACGACAACCACAGCTGCTCCAACCACCACCACTGCGTCTCCAACCACCACTACTGCTGCTCCAACCACAACCACAGCTGCCTCAACAACAACCACAGCTGCTCCAACCACAACGACAGTTGCTCCAACTACAACAACAGCTGCTCCAACAACTACAGCTGCTCCAACCACAACCACATCAGCTCCCACCACAACCTCTGCAGCTCCAACCACAACCACATCAGCTCCAACCACCACCACTGCAGCTCCAACCACAACCTCAGCAGCTCCAACCACCACCACAGCTGCTCCAACCACCACCACTGCTTCTCCAACCACCACTACTGCTGCTCCAACAACAACTGCTGTTCCAACCACAACCACAGCAGCTCCAACCACAACCTCAGCAGCTCCAACCACCACCACAGCTGCTCCAACCACCACCACTGCTTCTCCAACCACCACCACTGCTGCTCCAACAACAACTGCTGTTCCAACCACAACCACAGCAGCTCCAACCACAACCACAGCAGCTCCAACCACAACTACAGCAACTCCAACGACAACCTCAGATGCTCCAACCACCACCACTGCTGCTACAACCACCACCACAGCGGCTCCAACAACAACCACTGCTGCTCCAACCACCACCACTTCAGCTCCAACCACAACCACTGCTGCTCCAACCACCACCACTTCAGCTCCAACCACAACCACTGCTGCTCCAACCACAACCACAGCAGCTCCAACCACAACCACAGCAGCTTCAACCACAACAACAGTGGCTCCAACCACAACTACAGCAGCTCCAACAACTACCTCAAAAGCTCCAACCACAACCACATCAGATCCAACCACCACCACTGCTGCTCCAACCACAACCACTTCAGCTTCAACCACCACCACTGCTTTTCCAACCACAACCACTGCTGCTGCAACGACCACCACAGCTGCTCCAAGCACAACCACCTCTACTCCAACCAGCACATCAGCTGCTCCAACCACCACTACTGCTGCTCCAACAACAACCACTTCATTTCCAACCAATACTACAGCAGCTCCAACTACAACAACTACATCTCCACCATTAATAAGGCTGCTGATTTTTAAGTCTGATCAAGTATTTGACTCAAATTTGGGAGACCCATCAACATCTGCATTCAAAACACGTTCTGCAAACATACGGAGTCATGTATGTTACTATTTCTTACACACATTACAATTTACATTCTACATTTTAAAAATTAATCCTACATGAATTTCTACTTTATTGTATGATTATGAAAGATATTTTTTGTTTCTCTTCAAACTAAAAAGGTGAATTATGTTTTCTTCTAAATTAAAGATCTTTTAATGATTAAAAATTATTATAAATCCTCCTGCTTACCTACAATGTGTCTAAAGTTTCTCAAGTATAAAAACATATAATTTAATTTGTCTATATAAACCAATGTAACAAAATGTATTCATTGTACCAATGTTTTTAGTAAGAAATATTCGGAGAAGTATATTTTCAAATTTTGTAAACTTAATTTTTTTTAATCCATGTAGCTTGACCCACTGTTCAGAAGAGCTCTGCCCTCATTCCTAAAGACTGGAGCAATAAGATTCATGTAAGTTCTTTGTTGTTTGCTCAAGAAATTACAAACTTTCTTATGAAACACTTTTTGACATTATCTAATTCTACTACATTTACAGGTCAGGATCAATTATCAACTCTGTGGACCTTGAATTTGAATCATCACCTACTCCTTATGATATACAAATTAGAGAGGTTTTGGTGAACGATGATTCAAGCATCACAGAATTCAACATATTACAAGAAACGGTTGCTATTAGTGACCCAGGTAAGAAGAAAATTTAGATTTAAGAAAATTTTACATTTATGAAAATAATGAGACAAAGAAAGCAATGACCACACTCTATGAAAAATAAATATATCAACACAAAATTAATGGAAAACTTGTTTGAAAATGAGCTGATTACATTTTTTAAATTAAATTACAAATAAAGCAACCACAACAGAAGCTCCAACCACCACCACTGCTACTCTAACAACAACCACAACAGCTCCAACCACAACCACAAAAGATCCAACAACCAGCACTGCTGCTCCAACCACAACCACTGCTGCTCCAACCACCACCACAGCGGCTCCAACCACCACCACTGCTGCTCCAACAACAACCACAACAGCTCCAACCACAACCACATCAGATCCAACAACCAGCACTGCTGCTCCAACCACAACCACTGCTGCTCCATCCACCACCACAGCGGCTCCAACCACAACCACTGCTGCTCCAACCACAACAACATCAGATCCAACAACCAGCACTGCTGCTCCAACCACAACCACTGCTGCTCCAACCACCACCACTGCTGCTCCAACAACAACCACTGCTGCTCCAACAACAACCACAACAGCTCCAACCACAACCACATCAGATCCAACAACCAGCACTGCTGCTCCAACCACAACCACTGCTGCTCCATCCACCACCACAGCGGCTCCAACCACAACAACATCAGATCCAACAACCAGCACTGCTGCTCTAACCACAACCACATCATCTCCAATCACAACCACTGCTTCTCCAACCGCCACCACTTCAGCTCCAACCACCACTGCTGCTCCAACCACAACCACATCAGCTCCAACCACCACTGCTGTTCCAACCACAACCACAGGAGCTCCAACCACCACCACATCTGCTCCATCTACCACCACAGCTGCACCAACCACCACTGCTGCTCCAACCACCACCACAGCAGCTCCAACAACAACCACATCAGCTCCAACCACAACCACTGCTGCTACAACCACCACCACTGCTGCTCCTACCACAACCACAACCACATCAGCTCCAACAACAACCACATCAGCTCCAACCACAACCACTGCTGCTCCAACCACAACCACAGCAGCTCCAACCACATCCACTGCTGCTCCAACCACAACCACATCAGATTCAACCACAACCACATCAGCTCCAACCACCACCACTGCTGCTCCAACCACAACCACATCAGATTCAACAACAACCACATCTGCTCCAACCACTACCACTGCTGCTCCAACCACTACCACTGCTGCTCCAACAACAACCACATCAGCTCCAACCACAACCATTGCTGCTCCAACCACAACCACATCAGCTCCAACCACAACCATTGCTGCTCCAACCACAACCACATCAGCTCCAACGACTACCACTGCTGCTCCAACCACATCCACTGCTGCTCCAACCACAACCACAACAGCTCCAACAACAACCACATCAGCTCCAACCACAACCACTGCTGCTACAACCACCACCACTGCTGCTCCTACCACAACCACAACCACATCAGCTCCAACAACAACCACATCAGCTCACACCACCACTGCTACTCCAACCACAACCACATCTGCTCCAACCAACCACATCTGTTCTGACAACAACCACATCAGCTCCAATCACAACCACATCTGCTCCAACCACCACAACTGCTGCTCCAACCACCACAACATCAGCTCCAACCACCACCACAGCTGCTCCAACCACAACCACATCAGCTCCAACCACAACCACATCTGCTCCAACCACCACAACTGCTGCTCCAACCACCACAACATCAGCTCCAACCACCACCACAGCTGCTCCAACCACAACCACATCAGCTCCAACCACAACCACATCTGCTCCAACCACCACAACTGCTGCTCCAACCACCACCACAGCGGCTCCAACCACCACCACTGCTGCACCAACCACAACATCAACTCCAACCACCACCACATCTGTTCCATCCACCACCACAGCTGCACCAACCACCACTGCTGCTCCAACCACCACCACAGCAGCTCCAACAACAACCACAGCAGCTCCAACCACAACCACTGCTGCTACAACCACCACCACTGCAGCTCCTGCCACAACCACAACCACATCAGCTCCAACAACAACCACATCAGCTCCAACCACAACCACTGCTGCTCCAACCACAACCACATCAGCTCCAACCACCACCGCTGCTGCTCCAACCACAACCACATCTGCTCCAACCACAACCACTGCTCCTCCAACCACAACAACAGTGGCTCCAACCACAACTACAGCAGCTCCAACTACAACCACATCAGATTCAACCACAACCACATCAGCTCCAACCACCACCACTGCTGCTCCAACCACAACCACGTCAGATTCAACCACAACCACATCAGCTCCAACCACTACCACTGCTGCTCCAACCACAACCATTGCTGCTCCAACCACAACCATAGCAGCTCCAACCACAACCACATCAGATCCAACCACCACCGCTGCTGCTCCAACCACAACCACATCTGCTCCAACCACAACCACTGCTCCTCCAACCACAACAACAGTGGCTCCAACCACAACTACAGCAGCTCCAACTACAACCACATCAGATTCAACCACAACCACATCAGCTCCAACCACCACCACAGCGGCTCCAACCACCACCACTGCTGCTCCAACCACAACCACATCAGCTCCAACCACTACCACTGCTGCTCCAACAACAACCACATCAGCTCCAACCACAACCATTGCTGCTCCAACCACAACCACATCAGCTCCAACGACAACCACACTAGCTCCACCCACAACCACTGCTTCTCCAACCACAACAGCAGCTCCAACCACAACAACTACATCTCCACCATTAATAAGGCTGCTGATTTTTAAGTCTGATCAAGTATTTGACTCAAATTTGGGAGACCCATCAACATCTGCATTCAAAACACGTTCGGCAAACATACGGAGTCATGTATGTTACTATTTTTTACAAACATTACAATTTACATTCTACATTCTAAAAATTAATTCTTCTACATGAATTTCTACTTTATTGTATGATTATGAAAGATATTTTTTGTTTCCCTTCAAACTAAAAAGGTGAATTATGTTTTCTTCTAAATTAAAGATCTTTAAATGATTATAAATTATTATAAATCCTCCTGCTTACCTACAATGTGTCTAAAGTTTCTCAAACATAACAACATTTATTAAGTTGTCTATATAAACCAATGTAACAAAATGTATTCATTGTACCAATGTTTTTAGTAAGAAATATTCGGAGAAGTATATTTCAATTTTGTAAACTTAATTTTTTTTATCCATGTAGCTTGACCCACTGTTCAGAAGAGCTCTGCCCTCATTCCTAAAGACTGGAGCAATAAGATTCATGTAAGTTCTTTGTAGTTTGCTCAAGAAATTACAAACTTTCTTATGAAACACTTTTTGACATTATCTAATTCTACTACATTTACAGGGCAGGATCAATTGTCAATTTTGTGGACCTTGAATTTGAATCATCATCTACTCCTAATAATACACAAATTATAGAGGTTTTGGTGAACGATAATTCAAGCGTCACAGAATTCAAGATACTACAAGAAACGATTGTTATTGGTGACCCAGGTAAGAAGAAAATTTAAATTTAAGAAAATTTTACATTTATGAAAATAATGAGACAAAGAAAATAAATATATCAACACAAAATTAATGGAAAACTTGTTTGAAAATTAGCTGATTATATTTTTTGAATTTAAATTACCAATAAAGCAACCACAACAGAAGCTCCAACCACCACCACAGTGGCTCCAACCACAACCACTGCTGCTCCAACCACAACCACTGCTGTTCCAACCACAACAACAGCGACTCCATCTACAACCACATCAGCTCCAACTTCAACAACAGCTGCTTCAACCACAACAGTTGCTTCAACCACAACAGCGACTCCATCCACAACAGCTGCTTCAACCACAACAGTTGCTTCAACCACAACAGCGACTCCATCCACAACAGCTGCTTCAACCACAACAGCTGCTTCAACTGCAACAGCACCTTCCACCACAACTACAACAGCTCCAAACCACAACAACAGCGACTCCAACCACAACCACATCAGCTCCAATCACAACCACATCAGCTCCAACTTCAACAACAGCTGTTCCAACCACTACAGCAACTCCATCCACCACAGCTGCTTCAACCACAACAGCTGCTTCAATCACAACAGCTGCTTCAACCGCAACAGTTGCTTCAACCACAACAGCGCCTCCACCCACAACAGCTGTTTCAACCACAACAGCAACTCCATCCACCACAGCTGCTTCAACCACAACAGCTGCTTCAACCACAACAGCTGCTTCAACCGCAACAGTTGCTTCAACTAAAACAGCGACCCCATCCACAACAGCTGCTTCAACCACAACATCAACTCCAACCACCACAGCTGCTTCAACCGCAACAGCTGCTTCAACCACAACAGCTGCTTCAACCACAACAGCTGTTCCAACCACAAACAACTGCTTCAACTGCAACAGCTGCTTCAACCACAACAGCTGCTTCAACCGCAACAGTTGCTTCAACCACAACATCGACTCCATCCACAACAGCTGTTCCAACCACAACAGCAACTCCATCCGCAACAGCTGCTTCAACCACAACAGCAACTCCATCCGCAACAGCTGCTTCAACCACAACAGCTGCTTCAACGGCAACAGCTGCTTCAACCACAACAGCGACTCCATCCACCACAGCTGCTTCAACCACAACAGCTGCTTCAACCGCAACAGCTGCTTCAACCACAACAGCAACTCCATCCACCACAGCTGCTTCAACCACAACAGCTGCTTCAACCACAACAGCTGCTTCAACCGCAACAGTTGCTTCAACCACAACAGCGACTCCATCCACCACAGCTGCTTCAACCACAACAGCTGCTTCAACCGCAACAGCTGCTTCAACCACAACAGCAGCTCCACCCACCACAGCTGCTTCAACCACAACAGCTGCTTCAACTGCAACAGCGACTCCATCCACAACAGCTGCTCCAACCACAACAGCAGCTCCAACCACAAACTACTGCTGTTCCAACCACAACAACAGCGACTCCATCTACAACCACATCTGCTTCAACTGCAACAGCACCTTCCACCACAACTACAACAGCTCCAACCACAACTGCTCCAACCACAACAACAGCTGCTCCAATCACAACCACATCAGCTCCAACCACAACCACATCTGCTCCAACCACAACAACAGCTGCTTCAACCACAACAGCTGCTTCAATCACAACAGCTGCTTCAACCGCAACAGTTGCTTCAACCACTACAGCTGCTTCAATCACAACAGCGACTCCATCCACCACAGCTGCTTCAACCACAACAGCTGCTTCAACCGCAACAGTTGCTTCAACCACAACAGCAACTCCATCCACCACAGCTGCTTCAACCACAACAGCTGCTCCAGACGCAACAGCTGCTTCAACCACAACAGCGACTCCATCCACCGCTGCTTCAACCACAACAGCTGCTTCAACCACAACAGCGACTCCATCCACCGCTGCTTCAACCACAACAGCTGCTTCAACTGCAACAGCTGCTCCAGCCGCAACAGTGACTCCATCTGCAACAGCTGCTCCAGCCGCAACAGCTGCTTCAACCACAACAGCGACTCCAACCACAACTACTACTGCTCCAACCACAACCACAGCAGCTCCAACCACAACTACAGCTCCAACCACAACCGGAGCTTCAACCACAACAGTCGTTTCAACCACAACATTTGCTTCAACCACCACAGCTGCTTCAACCACCACAGCTGCTTCAACCACAACAGCTGCTTCAACCGCAACAGCTGCTCCAGCCGCAACAGTGACTCCATCTGCAACAGCTGCTCCAGCCGCAACAGCTGCTTCAACCACAACAGCGACTCCAACCACAACTACTACTGCTCCAACCACAACCACAGCAGCTCCAACCACAACTACAGCTCCAACCACAACCGGAGCTTCAACCACAACAGTCGTTTCAACCACAACATTTGCTTCAACCACCACAGCTGCTTCAACCACCACAGGTGCTTCAACCACAACAGCTGCGTCAACCGCAACAGTTGCTTCAACCGCAACAGCTGCTCCAACCACATCAGCTGCTTCAACCACCACAGGTGCTTCAACCGCAACAGTTGCTTCAACCACAACAGCTGCTTCAACCACAACAGTTGCTTCAACCGCAACAGCTGCTCCAACCACATCAGCTGCTTCAACCACAACTACAGCTCCAACCACAACCACAGCAGCTCCAACCACAACTACAGCTCCAACCACAACCGGAGCTTCAACCACAACAGTCGTTTCAACCACAACATTTGCTTCAACCACACCAGCTGCTTCAACCACCACAGGTGCTTCAACCACAACAGCTGCTTCAACTGCAACAGCTGCTTCAACCACAACAGCTGCTTCAACCACAACAGTAACTCCATCCACAACAGCTGCTTCAACCACAACAGCAGCTTCAACCACAACAGCAGTTTCAACCACAACTACTACTGCTCCAACTTCAACCACAACCAGAGCAGCTCCAACTACAACCACAGCAGCCCCATTTGTACCAAGTACATCTACAACTGAGCCTCCTGCTCCGGTGTATGCTCTTGTAGCAACCATCATTGAACCATTTGATGAACAACTCACTAACAAATCCAGCAAATTGTTTGTAGATCTTGAGAAAAGAGTCACAGCAACAGTAAGTACCAAACTAAATTTTGTATTTTCAACATTACAGTCTATTTTGAATTATTGAAATTTATACTTCATTCTCATGGCGGCACTCAACGTTATTTCTTACAGTATGACATAATCTACAAAAAGAAGTTTGGAATCCTCTTCATTCGTAGTTTTGTTATTGCATTTAGGTAAGATTCAAATTGTACTTCTCTTTCCACAAGCATATTTAAGATTTGAATGATGATTTAAGTTATTTGTCGAAAAAATCCAAAATACTGTAGGTTTTTTATTTTCAGTTTTTTTTCTTTACTTACTGTATTGGTGGTTATGTTGCAGAGCTTCCACACGATTTGCACAACGAATGAATAATACTGAAGCAGAAGTGGGGTTGGAGTTAATAAAACTACATCTTCTGAAAATCTCCCAAAGAATGAAGTTGTTCAAGCAACCTTACTCGAGGCGATAAACAGCACCACTTTCAACGTTACATTCATTCCTGGCACCGTTACTCTAACACGTAAGTGAAAGAGTTGTAGCACTACACAAGAACAGAGCAGTGAAGCTCTTTTTAGAAGCATTGATATTTGTATTTTTGACCAGTTTATGTGTCTGTTTAATTTTCATGAAAACCTACAGTGACTCAATTTGTGAGTAATGGCTAATTTTGTTATTTATTATCCTGGTAGGCACACCTTTGGCAACCTCTGCTCCCACGACAGATACTACAAATACTACAACAACTCCACCAACCACCATCACAACTGCTACTACAACTCCACCAACCACCACAATAACCACAACAGCAACTACAACTGTGGAGTCAACTGTGAAACGGCGACTGACTTTTAGATCTGGGAGAGATATTCACCACCGAGTTGCTGGACACATCATCTACAGCTTTCAGAAATCGAGCTGCACTTTTGAAGACCAATGTAAGTTTCATTTGAGATGGTTGTAAAATATTTGCATAAGTAATTAGTTCCTAAAACAACTTACCTAAAAGAATTAATACAAGTTTTCTTTCTTCATATCTGTGTTTTTTGGCACCAAATATAACATTTCCAGGCAATGTCACACAGTCTAAAAAACATGTTTATTTTTTACTTAATTTTTTTGCATGAATCAAAAAAAAATTATGAAAATTAGAAAAAAAAAAAAAAAAAACAATGGATCTGACATGTTTTATCAAGCCAATATTAAGAGATTGCCACAGGATAAATTGACCTGGATAGATTTGAATTCCCTTTACTGCTTTTTTACAAGCTTCAAATTTGATTGCTGCAATTATATTTTTAATTATCCAATGTTAAAATTCACCATTAATGGAAAACTCACTTTCTTTGTCTCTTTGTAGCTTGAACCACTCTACCAGGCAGCGTTCTCTTCTTACCGCAGTTTCAATGTGATTTCATTCAGGTATGAGTTGCATATAAATTCTGAAGACTGTTTAATATGAATGTGCACAGATTAACTGAAATGTTGTTATCTCTGCAGCAATGGATCAATCATCAACAACATTGACATTGAATTTTTAACACTATCTCAACCTACTAGCGCCCAAATCACAAATGTTTTGGTGAAAGCAAATTCAACCGTCACAGCTTTCAACATTGACATCAATTCAATTTTTGTGGATGGCGCACGTAAGTTAAATTACATTCAAACTATAGAAAATATAGATTAACATATTAATCATACATGATCAATGAACTCACAAAGGAGTTAGTTGAAGTAAGTATGTTTTTTTTGTCTTCTTTTACACAGAAACGTCGAACGGAGCAAGCCATGCCATCAGCCTCATCACTGCATTCAGCATGGTCCTGCTGTCTTGGCTTCTTTCAACTCAGCAGTAACGTCTCTGCTGTCTTCCACAGGAAAATCTGCATGAAAATGTCAATTATTGCTTGTGTGAACAAGAATGTTGTTCTAATTCAAGACCAAGATTCACTTAGAATTTCAAAGCATTTATTGAAACATAATAATTTCCTCTTGTCAATGTTTTATTTATTTATACAAAACTAATTATTCTGTGTCATTGATTTAATTTATTATCTTTAAAATTAAACATGAATGTATTTCTTCAAGGATTATTTGGTTCTCTCTCAATAAATATTGTAGGATTTACCAAAAACTATGCTGTCTGAGCAACGTGCTGTATGATTGTCCAGTTTTTCTTTTCCTTTTAATTGTATTTCTTACAGAAAGTATTCTGTAAAGCATATAGCTGTCAGTTTAACAAAAAATAATGACTAGATTTTTGGTCCTCCATACAGTCATCATATATGTTTATGACATAATGTAGAGCTGTGAATTGACATCAATTAAAAAGGTTCAAATTGAATAATAATGAGTGTATCTCATCTGTACAGACTGGTAGAACAGTTTCACACAAATTTTTTCTCAATAATTCACATGATCTAGAAGCCTGTAAGAGAAATATTTAATTTCAACAATAAAAAAAAATACCAACAATAAAAAAAATGAGTTACAATTGAATAAAAATGCATGTGCCTTATACTAAAGTGGCATACAGTTTAGTACAACAATTACACACTGATTTCTAGTTAATGTGGCACACAATAATCATGTTGAAGAAAACATTGTTTAATATTAAAATTATTTAAAATATTGAATATGACTTGACATTTTAATAGAGGCTGTGACCACACTGGGAATTGTTACAATAACAGAGTCAAATCCTTCAAAAATTGCAAATCACGAACCCATTACAAATAAGACATCTCCTTCAATGGTGGATGTAAAAACAACAGGGTTGATGACAACATCGACTACAATTGTTACTCTAAAAATGAAGCAACTATAAACTTAACATCTTCACCTCCACCCCTTACAACAAGATCCACAACATCAACAGAAGTGGAAATACCAACATCAAAGAAATCAGACGAAATATCATCAACACAGAGCACCTCATCACAAAACCCTTTACATGTAACTACTGAGACACAGACTGCAGCTGCAGAAACAGAATCAACTGCTTTCAAACAGACTGTGGTATCTACATATAGTGAATCATTTTCTGATCACAACAGACATAAATCAGCTTCACTGCAAACATCTACTCAAAAGATAGATGAAACAAATGAGTTAGAGAATCAGACTAAAAATGCATCACCTGCAACGAACAAATCAGAGTTTCCAAAAACACAACACCCTCCAATTATTGGATCAGCAACAGTACATGAAGACAAAATCACCTCACCTTATCAACAACGGGACGGAAATCACCCACAGCTTCAACGCAAAGCACTGGATTATCAAACCAGTCACCAACAGAAGTTGGAGAGCAAACTATAGGGAAACAAGAGGCAGGACGTACAACGGGACATATGGGAACTACAGTGAACACCACACCACACACCACAGCATTTTTAGTCACATCTCCTCAAGAAACTACACAAACAGCTGCACACACAATTACCCTGAGGAGGAACCAGAGACTGCATCGGGTATGTTGGACGCAAACCTTTCCAGTGATGATCAAATTACTACCACAGTCATACCAACAGTTCCAGATCAAACTAATGTCTTTCTTTCTTGTGCTTCTGCAGCAGCATGGACAACGAATCAGTACTCCTCCACACCGCAAAGTTTAGAACCTTCCACTTCACAACAACCTCAAAGTGCCTCATTGGTCCCAGTTAGCCCATCTAGAAGCACTTCATCTTCAGTCCCAGCGCAGAGTTCATCCCATTCCACAACAGAAGAAGATCATTCAAGTACTTCCCCTCAGGTTAACAGGACAACAACTATGGAGAAGGTTATGGTAAAATCCACAGCAGCTGAGTATGAAAGCACAGAGACAACAGACTCCAAATTATACACATCATCTGCTAACCTCAGGCATGCAAGCACAACACAACTGGAGCACAATGCAAGCACACTGCCTGTTTCTCGAAACAGGACTGTGTTTTTCAAATACAGTCCTAGGGTTGTTATTGTGAAGCCTTTAGTCTTTGATTATCCAGTTGTGGAGCGCATCACGTTTTTATCAAATGATACAGATAAAATTGATGCAAGATGATGAAAACAACATGCAAATTAACTGTTAAAACATTTGTCATATGTTGATGTAAAATAATTTTTGGGATGAAATTTTATTGGGACAGTTACTTATAACCTCTTTATTCTGTTGAGATGTTGGGACTGTTCAGGACTTTAAAATTAGTTCAAAAGAGCAACCTGAATCTGGAGAGCCAATAGGTACACTCGAAATAAAACTTGATGTGGGCATTTTACAACATGTGGGCCACAGCCAACTCTTTACTTGTTCAAGACTGGCCTGGAGTGGTTAATAGATCTGCAAAAATTAATAAATAAATCAATAAAATAAAGATAAGTTTTTATTCAAGTCCAACTATGTGTATTATTTGGAGAATCCAGTCTTTCTTTCACTTTTGTTTCTGTCTGCTACAGCATATGCCAATGTTTATTTTGTTACCAAATGTAAAGTTTTCACCATTTCTTCTATGTAATTGCTGCACACATACCATCATCACAATACTATTATTAGTATTAAGAATAGTGTTAATACTAATAATATTTCAATTGTCAAGAATGTACACACTGCATATGACAGACAGCCTGTAAAAAATGGATGATGGTACCTAAGATGCTAAAGGGAACCTTTAGCTTAGGGTATAAAAAAATGGCTTTTTACACTGCAGTTTTAGATCACAACATGTGATCTAAATACGTGAAAAATCTGAGATAGAGTTGGTGATGGAACATTTCAAAATCTTCAGTGTGAAACAAAACAAAATAAAAACTCCGATGTAAAAAGGTAATGCAGTACAACAGTCTGACGGTGGAATTTGAGGTTGTGACGTGTAAAGCGTTGTCATTTTGTTTGTTCAACATGTTGATAACTGTCTATAATGTTAATAGTTTTACAACCAAAACACAGCAAATGTGCCATTATTGGTGTGGGAGGAAAACGCATCTTGTTTTAGTTTCATGTGATGGTTCACTTCGTCATTTGTCATAATTGTTTTAGAAACCGATTTCTTTTCTCCACTGTATAACCCTTTAATCTGTTATTGAAGGCATCAAGCACATTTTTAAATTATTTTTGTACATTTCTGTCAATACTGATTAGCACTTTAACTTTTTCCAGAAAGTCTTTGGTCACCAATCTTTTTTCTTAAAGTTAATTGCACCCAGGCTCTTTGTTATCTGGATCAACACCATGAAGATTGGTGTATCTGTACAACTATTGCCTGGTAACTGGCCAGTTGGCCTCCCTTTTTTTATTAAAGTAACACATGATATTATAATGCTTGGGAATGATAACATTTTCAAGCGGTTTGTAGAATAACATCTGGGGATTTGTAAGGTGAAGGAAAGAGCAACATTCAATTTTAAAGGTCTATTTACAAAGTTGCACAGCATAGCATTTCAAAATCTTAACGTAGATGTCCAATGCAGACATTATATTCTAATGTGTGTCTATTTTTAATAAAACAAATGCTCAATGTCTAAATTTGTTGTGTTACATTTCTTTCAGGTTTGCCTTTAAAGTAGCTGCTTTCCTCCCGTTTCTATTACCCCCATCCTCCATCTACACCAGCCTGACATCAGTGAGAAACTACGCACCCTAAATCGGTACATGAAGAGAAACAATGTCTCGCAGCGCCAACCATAAAGAAAAAACAAACACACCTCAATCCCCTACATTCTTCAGGTCAAATGAAGCAGATTCGCTGCTTCTGATGTAGTCATGACGTTTCTCATAGTGGGTTTGATCTGAAGCGTGCCTCTTGTTTGACTATAAGCAGTGATGGTGGCATACTTTGTGCAGTTAGACCAGTTTAACTGAAAGTCTTTGCTTGCGAAAGGTAATTTCAGTTTTTCTAAATATTCACATTTATGCAAATAACATTTTAAAAATGTTGAGAATACATTTGTGAATTACAGTTCTTTGTGCACTTAGACAACTGTCACGCATTCTGACAAGTGTAGGTCTTCATGTGGTGCCTGTTTACTTCCTTTAATCTGTTGTGTTGAACTGTGTTTTTCTTGGATGAAGCAGAAAAATCACATGGTTGCTTGTAAGCTCAATAAACTTATAAGCCAGTCATCATGATGGACCTTGACGATCCCTGAAAAAGGTTTCCTCCTGATCCTCCTATTTACAACATCCTTCAATGCCAACGAATCCATTGGGCAGCAATGAGCATGGGTGTCACAGCGTATTTAGATGTTTTCACGGATCAATGTGATTACACATCTTGTCAAAATGTATGTGTTAATCTGTGGTAAAATAAATAAATAAAACTGATGTACGTCTCACCATTCTGACCACCGAAGACAGGAATTTGAAACAATATGATAAAAATATACTATAAACATTGTGCAGACTTTGATTTTGGATTGAGACTGCCTGACGGATCTTTTTTGTTTGCTCGGACGGTCATCATGTGTAATTATATCACACTATTGTTGAATGCTTATGATAAAGTCAATCTGCGGTTTACAGTTCGAAAGATTTCCGCATCTAAAAATATGTGGAACATTCCATGAGCAAATCTCATCCACAAACAACAGATAAACAAGATTGTATCAGCAAAATGTTTTGCAAAAATATGCAGCGCATCTTCTGATCACCAGGAAGTGCAAAATACAGGGTGGAGGATATGGAAATGTGCGACGTACCACCTGTAATTCAATTTACTAGATCAGAACCAGATGACAGGTGCTGTTTTTGGGTCCATATTTACCATGTTTGAAAAGCAGGTGCGAATTGGCCAAAATTAATAGTTGATTTAGAAAAATTGTCTATCTATGACGGACACTGCAGTTCCTTCTCTTAAGCAAGCATAAGGTGGCAGTGGAAAGAAAAGACTCCTATATTACAAGTTGTACGTTGATCTTTATTTATTGTAAAGAAATTGCTGGTGGTCTAAACTTGTCCATATTTAGAGTACTATGAAGGTTTTAAAGACATCATCTTATGCTTCTAAAACTGCTGCTAATATTTATCTATTGCAAAGAACAAACATATTTTCTCATGTTTTAGAACTGATGTTTTATTTATTTATCCCTAAGAACTTTGTCATGTTTTTATAGTCATTTCAACTGCATTTTTCATAGTTGTTTTAGGTCAGTGAAGTTCAAAATAAATGTTACTAATTAGACCGGTAAACCTGTTTAATTAGTAACACTTTACTAATTCAACAGTGACCTAAGCACATTGAAACAGTTTACTGTTTCCAAATTAAACTCATTAAAATGAATTTCATGGACATCAATTTACTGTGACACAGTAAATTAATGTCACCCAAGTTCACATCAAGCCAAGAAAGTAAAAATGTCAGTGCCAATGATAT